GTCCTGGACCATTCTCAAGTCGATTGTGTCGACTTGAGAATTCTCAAGAATTCTCAAGTCGAAACGTCGTCGTCCCTTCACCTTCTAGTGTGTGGTCTGGTCAACTCGTGAGGCTTGTTAGTAATTTGGAAGCCACAGACACGCTAGGCCAATCTGACATCGTGTTTCCCGTTCTCTTAATAAACACTACATTTGTTACGCATTGGACCGTGACGTAAAAACTGAGGGTGATTTAGGGAAATTAGAAACCCCTTAATATTGACACTTTTAACGACTAATGAGTATCGGCTCCGGCAAGATATGTTTGGCTAGGCTTTGATGCTTTAAGTTAAGCGCGCCCCTCGAACCCCAACAGAGGCTTTACCAACTAAAACACCACCTAATCCCCAAGATGAACCACCGGCTTGTTCTCGGACGCGTGTTTAAGACGGAGTTAGGGCTGCGGCATGGCATCCGTGGCTGGTTGCGGCTGCCTCATGATACTCCTAATGCCTATTTTCATGCCGACGTAAAGGACGGTGGACTAGGAATTCCCGACTTTGCACATCAATCCGCCTACAGAAGAACAAGCGGCTCGGGGCGTTGGTAGAGTCGGAGGATCCAGTGGTAGTGGCAGCGGCCCTCCTACCCGCGTTCCAAGCGCGAATGCGTCGATGGGTAGACCCGACCACGGCCGCCGGAACCCCTTCTAACAGAACGACTGAGCGCTCTAGGAAATGGAAAGCAAAACTGTATAGCATCGTCGATGGTGCCGGCCTTGCGTCCTCTTGTGAGGTTCCATCTTGCCACAAGTGGGTCGCATCCGGTACCCGTCTGCTAAGCGGAGGAGATTTTGCTCATGCCATCCAGATTAGAGCAAACGCTGTAGCCACGCCGTCTAGAGCAGCTAGGGGTAGACCCGAGGCTTCTGGTCTCTGCGATGCTTGCCAGAAGCCAGGAACCCTGGGCCACATATCCCAGGCATGCCACAAGACACACGGGGCTCGGGTGAAACGTCATGACGATATCACCCGGTTCGTAGCCGGCCGCCTGCGGCAGAGGGGTTTTGAGGTGGAACGCGAAGTCCGTATACCGGATGGAGGGACCTTCTGTAATCCTGACATCATAGCTTACAAAGGTGACGAGGCCTTTATATTAGACACTCAGGTCTCTGCTGATAACTTCCCACTCTCCCGTCCACATCAGAGCAAGTGCGACAAGTACGGCACCCCAGAGATCCTTCAAAAGGTCAGGGAATATACCGGGAAGCACACAGCATCCGCCTCTTCAATAACCCTTAATTGGAGAGGAGGAGAGTGCGCGTGGTCTACAGGATATGGGACTCACCAAGAGCGACCTTGAGATTTGCTCTGTGAAAGCCCTGACCTGGACATATTCTCTCTACAGAATATGGTCCAAGACCACATCAAGGGGCCGACCACCTTAGTCCCAGGATCACCGTGCACAGGGTGCATAAGGGTTAATATAGTCTCGCTTAGGTGAACCGCAGCCAGGATAGCTGGTAGCCAACTATCTAAGCAGAGTCGTCATCTGGAGTACCACTTCTCCAAATGGTGTCTCACAAGAGGGTGGATGACCTGGCCGGAGCCCACGAGTGGGTAAGGCGGCGGCTGGAGGGACCCCCCCATGCGCATACATGATATCCCTCCCGCTCCGGGGCCTTGTTAGGAGCTTCCACTATGAATAGTTCTTTTCCATGTATGCCGATGTCAAGTCATCAATCCACCTGCTTAGGCAGCTTGCTGTTTTGGCCTTCAGCGTTAGTTCTTTTTAATGATATACTGTCCACCTCTCCCTCTGTGTGCTGTGTCCCATATAAGAAAAAAACAAATACAAAAGAATTTTCCATTTTGTGTATGTTATTTTCATGTTATTATTGTGTGTTATTATTATCATCTTAACTCTTGTGGGTTGTGATGAGATCTGCCATTTATGTGTATTTTAGTTTGTGTTTGATAGGGAATTAGGTATGCTTAGGGGTGCCTTCTCGCCATGCCCTGTGGCTGGGGGGATTGGTGCCCTGAAGCTACATAAACACCCTATACCCCCCCCCCCCCCGAAGTGGCAAGGGGAGTTAGGGGACAACAATACTAACTCCGGGTGTACCTATTTGCTGCTACGTGAACAGGAACATTAGGTGAAAGGAAACGTATTCGACCATTTCTCTTCCATCCAAAAATCGAACCCAGAATACCTAGAGTCGAGAACGAAGCCAACTGCTTCGAGTCGAGCCTATGAGACCCTATATGAAGGCAAGCGTGTGCCCCTGATCAGTATGCAGATGGGTATGTGGCACACAACTACTCACAGGATGGCTATGGAGTCCTCTACGACTCACAGGATAAGTATTGTGAGCATAATACAGGAATTAATGTAACCATTTGGAAGTAAACTCCAAGATCAAGAAGAAGGACCATCAAGGAACAGTTTATACGTACCAGCAACTATATAAAGTTGCAGAAATTCATATAATATATATATATATATATATATATATATATATATATATATATATATATATATGTATATATATATATATATATATATATATATATATATATATATATATATATATATATATATATATATATATATATATATATATATATATATATATATATATATATATATATATGCAATTGACGATCACAAAACACTGATCATTTTATGCGGAAAATCCACAGAGAAATATGAAATGAGGTGAACGTTTCGGCTTGTTAAAGCCTTTGTCAACACCAGACTCCAGAGTCTGGAGTATATATATATATATATATATATATATATATATATATATATATATATATATATATATATATATATATATATATATATATATATATTAGTTTATATGGTGGCCAGCAAGTTGCTAGCCACTACGAGGGGGCTAGCAAGTTCAAGTAATTTTATTGACACAACAAAAGGATAGAGCAACCTATTATTTTGTTTTTCTTTATTAAATAATATACAATATAAAGATTAACAAATGCTATTTCTACCCTCCCGCGAGATGATAATCTTATCTCGTGTTGCCAATGTACCCATAGAGGGAGTTTTAAAGTGGATGTTCAAACGGTGATAGGGGAGCCCATTCTCGTCCCCTAGGGCCAGGGGATGGGGTGGTGATGGAACTTGGTGACAATGTTAAACCTGGGTTTATTCGCAATGTCTCTTGCAAATAGGTATTAAGGAAGCCGACACAGAGGGGAGGGGGGGGGGGGTCACCTCACAGTTCAGGTTCCAGGAGAGGGTTCAAGAGATCCTCACACAGAGACCTGGAGGGCTGAACTGACTCGCCAAGTATGAATAGACTCAGATTGAAAAAGAGGAGAAATCAATGATTAATTTCTAGATCAGGAAGCTACAGGTTGAGGTTTACTGAAAAGGTAGAAAGGTAAAAAGCCAAAAAAATGCAGTTGCCAATGAAGCCAAATGTGCTAAGGCTGTTAGGGAAGGTTGAAAGTTTGTGGTCGAAAAAGATGCTGCCGGTGAACCATGGCGATTCGTGGCAGATACGGAGACCAGGACAATGAAGAATAAATGCAAGAGGCTCCTGCAAGAAGTATGAACTGAAACAAGTCTGTCGATGGATGCAAAAGGAGGTCGAGTTCGAGAGTAAAGTTGTGGCAGGAATGTCACCGTTCACGGGAAGGTAACGTAAGTAAGCTTGTATGGTTATGCAGCATTTGGAAGGGATACAATAGGATAGAAGCTGGGATATGAGGACAAAGTGAAGAAACAGTGCCCATCTACTTGAACCATCGCAGATCGAATGCCAATACTGCAACAAGCAAGGCCCTCGGTCGACCGTCGTGCCGAAGTGGAAGTCGAAGGTCCCGATCTAGCGACATACCGAGGCTGAGACAGCCACTGTAGGTGCTAAATATCATTAGCTTACATGGAACTGTGAATACCAGAACTGTAGTGACGGCCAGACCTTTGGTTTACTAACATGAAGATTCGCGCAACAAAAGAAATGAAGCTCGTTACTTTGAGACAACCTAATAATTGTTGTATTTAATAATTATCACTCTTCCTTCTACTTGGTCTTGAAGGAGGCCGGCCTCGGGTGAAAAGGGGCTGTGACGATCCTTGTCTGGAACCCGTAGGTGCGGGACCGGGACGTCCACCTCCCGAGGGTCGTGCGGCCCCCCAGGCTCTGCTTCAGGAGGCTGGGGTCATTCATACCCTTGATGGGGTGGTTCTTCTCCGGCCCCGACCACGGCGGTCTCCGGGGTTGGAGGTCCCTATGCCCTTCTTCACCACCTTCGAGGTCAACCCCGGAACTCACAGTTCCTGCGACGGCGCTGGAACCAATCGTATTGGCGTATGCCTTTTCATTGGAGACTTTCAGCGTCGATGAGAGGGGGGGGGACCTACTGCCTGGTTAACAGCTTCTCCTCCGTATCAACCTACCCTGGCTTTGCGCCCTGGTGAGACCACTCCAGACCGACAACCAGAGCGCAACTCCACAGTCTCCTGAGACTGATGGATGCCTACTACTACTATGCTTAAATATTTAGTTTCCCTGTAGTTCCCTTAATTGGGAAATTTACTTCACTTCTGTCATTAGGCTTCCCACACTTACACAGTCATCCAATCAATGCCTCACTCACATACAACTGACCAATCAGAGCGTCAGTTGTACATAGTAGACCAATCAGTGTCTCACTTTTAGTCATCGTCTCATTCTTAGTCAACCAATCGGGTCTGCAATCTTACTAAATCGACCACTCGACACCCTTCTACAAAATCGACCAAACAGCATCTTCAATTCGCATAACTGACCAATCAGCGGGCCACTAACACATTCAACCAATCAACGCCCTCTCCCAAATACGACTAATCAACTCCTCACTAACCCTCTCGACCAGTCACCGGTCCACTTTCGCACTAGCCGACACCTCCATCGACCAATAGGAAGCCAGTGTCTTGTGGGTTAGGGCCTGGAAGGCTATATAAGGGCGGGAGGAAGGCGGGATGGTGTCACTTCACCACCGCAGCGCCCATCAACAAGTCCATCTCGAGTAAGCCTCCACCATCTCCTCTCGTGAGACAATATTTTCCTTATCTCTAGACAAAGTGATCAAGTCAAATTATTTTCCTTGACTTGAAGTTGTTCTTGCATGCTTTAAGGCATCATTTCTCCTTGATTTTATCCTTCAAGTTGTTATCATCCCCCAAATAGAATTAAGGAGTAAACTCTTAGTGCATTTGAGGAATTTAGAACACCTCTCAGTTTGGGTATTTTTTTGAGCCACCATCAAGCAGTAGGCCCAGTAACCCACTAAGCCCATTAACCTACGGCTCTTGAACGGGCTGTGCTTGTTCAAGCAACGCCCGACCTCCAAAGTTGTTGTTATAGATTCAGCTACTCGGAACAAGTTCCAAGTAGCACGGGCTATGGTGAGCCCGTAACTTACCTGGCACAGGAGCGGGGCAAGAAGCACGGGCTATGGTTAGCCTCGTGGACAGGAGATGTCTCCCGTCTGGACCTCCAAAGACTCATTCGTCAATTTTTATCTTGTTGTGTAACAAAAGACGATGTTTTCTCGCATATAAACTCCTCACTTATTGTAATTTTGTGCATAGTTAGGACCTAGAAGAGTCTTTCAGATAACATGGTGTGAGACAAGACCAATCGACATCAAATAAGAAGCGTTCAGTGCGTTTACATACGTAATTCGAGTTGCATTCCATAAACATACTTGAAAGTAAAATACGCATAGATTCAGAATCTGACAGAAAGGCTATGTGAAAGATATTCGAGTGAGTCTATAGTCATTCGTTGAACGGTTTCGTGATGACCAGACCACACACTAGACGGTGAAGGGACGACGACGTTTCGGTCCGTCCTGGATTATTCTCAAGTCGACAATCGACTTGTGAAAGGTCCAGGACGGACCGAAACGTCGTCGTCCCTTCACCTTCTAGTGTGTGGTCCGGTCATCATACTTTAGCCACGTTATTGTGACTCATCGCCTGCAAACGGTTTCGTGTTAATGTAGCAGACTGATGCAGTTATATATGCGTGTGTGTGTGTGTATATGTGCACATTCACCAAGTATAAACAGTGGCTTTATTTCACTTCTTCAGAACGATGGTACGTCACCGGTCGTACAAGCCAACGGAGGAGGCTGACCGCGCCAAGTTTGTGCTGATGTGGGTCGACGGGGTGCCTGTCCGCGACATCGCTCTGGCGACAGACACGAGCGTCACCACTGTCTACCGGTGGCTCAGACGCTGGCAGCGGGAGGGCACCGTTGGCACCAGGCCCAGGAGCGGACGACCAAGGGAGGACCTTCGACAAGAACATCCCTCGGGCTTCTGGTCGGACACCTTCCGGGCCTTGACGACCCACGGAGAAGGTGGTGTCAGCGATCTCCAGCTCTCTTGCAGGGGCAACCATTCTCCTTACCACATTCAGGAGACGCATTTATTTTGCGCGCAAAGTGGCTGCACACACTATATCAACGAGAGATACATAAACCGAAGCCTGCAATTTGCGTCTGATTATCAGTTACCAACCAACTATCCCGAAGATACTATTCCATGAGGATCAGAGGAAATATATGCATTTTGACGATTGGTCGACAAAGGGGAGATATAAACAGGGTTCTGAAATTATCAAAACATATTTAAGAACCCGCACCAATGAGTACAAGTTAAGAGCAAATTCGTTTAAGAAAGTGTTGACTTGGGCGGAGGGTTGTGACCGAGTGACGTGGGCTACCAGCTAGCATTATTGACACAGTATATCAAATATCAAAAACAGATGGGATAATTATATGAGGCAAGAGTAGATGAATGTAAATGGGACCCACTTAGTACAAGCCAAAAGCTCCTGTGCTTTCTAATTCTTAAATTATGTCATTCTGTCAAATGTCATTCTGTCAAAAGTCATTCTGTCAAATGACAGAATGAATGAAATCTGAATGACAAACCTGGTGATGGAAGAGGGACTAAACGAACTAAGTGTTAAGATGGTTTAATGTCTTCGAATCCTACAATAACATCAACAAAGTGACATTTTAACTTCATGTTATGGCCGTTGTTGACGCTAACCCAAGGAGAGTCAATAGCACGAAGTAATCTCAAGCAATTTCAAGTTAAATATCGTCATTCTGATACCCGTACCAGCTCCTAAACTTGTGCTTCTATGACTCAAAATCCACAAGTAAGACATTATCAGCAGAAAACACCAAGCTGGGATGACAATGCAGCTCCGTTCGAAACTTGCAAGATTTTAAACGTGATTTTTTTTTTTACAAATCATATGAAATTTATGTTATATAAGCAGCCAATGTGATTTTCGTGTCCACAGGAGGATATAACAACTATGAGGGCCCGTATAACCTACGTGAGACACTGTGACCGAGTATGCAGCAAGATAGTACACTGTAACGAGGTCCTTCTTTACTACAGGACAGTGTACCAAAGTCAAACTCTTCTCATTATAATTATTTCTTATAGAAATAGACGTCTGTCCTAGTTGTAAACCCTAATAGATCACATTTTTGACGGAATGAAACAACGCGTTAAAATGCAACGTGTACGAGTAAAGATTGAATCATGGTAATAGTGACGTCTTGTATGCATCGGTCTCAACAGGTTAAATGGGGAGCTTAGGTTCGGACGTTGTATTTTGAACGGAGTGGCAAATCGTGAGAACTAACTGGATTGTGTAACTGGCTTCTATGCCGCTCAATAAATAATTACACCACTAAATCAGATTCTTAATTACCGACAAGTCTTGGATATTAATTGTGCTTCATACATCATAAGCCAGTTGGTAATATTATCTACGCTTTACGTTATTACTTTCTTGTAATATTTTAAATGTGAAAATGCTACGTAAACAACAACATCCTCCAATATAAACAGGAAACAGTTGAAATAGACCCCGAGCTCTGAGATCAATTTCCACATTAATGTATATTGTATGACAAGTACTTCTTTAACCCCCACCTACGTGGAATAAAGATTCATATCATTTGATCTGACAGGTGAAAGTGTGGTCAGGTAGGCCTAGGTAATTAGCTGATGAAGCTGTCAGTGAAGCTGAAGAAGCTGTTAGTATGTGAGTCACTGTCAGTGTGAGTAAGATACACAGTATCCTACTGTGTATTTAATAGTAATAAAACTTTTGTAACATTAGTAAACTCTAATACAGTGCACGAGTTGGACCCCTCAAGTGATTAGATACAAAATTTTATTCACACGTAAATTAGTTTTTGCCATATACACGTTCTGTTGTGCCCTCCTCTACGGACGGGCTGGAGGTGTGTGTGTGTGTTTGACAACATATGGTGTAGTGAGCCACTGCACACTCATCCACAGAAGGTGTCTCATGTCCTTTTTACAATTCAAGTTGTGTTACGACAGACAATGTGCTGAAGGAGGCGAAGATGGCGACCGTGACGTCTGTGCTCATGTTCCTGACTGTGACTGCCTACCTGTCTGCCGCCCAACTGCCTCACCCTCACGGTAAGCTATTCCTGACTGTGACTGTGTCTGACTGTCCCAAAAATAAATCAGCATATATATTTAAATCATGGAATTCCCGCACTTTAAATACAAAATAAAGGTTGTGCCCATCTAGAAAAAAATCCAGTTGGCTCAGAGTTTAATAATACCTTTTATTCAATTGAACCGAAAGGCATTTTTTAGAAAAAAAAAGTTTGAATAATCGGTCCATTATGTACCTCTGTAACTTGTTCTACTATCGCTCACAGGAGGGGGTATGGGGTGCACTACCCACTCACAGGATGGGTATGGGATCCACTAAATTAAATTTCTTAGTAACCACAACCCATAAGGCATGATTACATTCCAAAAGCCTCTCCTTTGACAGCACTTATTGTCAAATGTCCTTACAGTTCTCTCCTTATATAGTAACAATGGTCCCATTAGCCACTGTGGTCGAAACTGTTTTGTTTCTTTATTTTTAAGGCTTTAATATTAAAATATGTCAATCATTTTCTATCATTCGAATCCAATTGCAGTTCGAATCTGCAATCAGCCCACTTTTTCTTTATTTGCCGAGCAGTTGGAGAAGAGACGCTGAGGGCGGCGGGGCGGTGCGTGGCGGCTGTGGCGACCAGATTTTGGCGGCCGCGCTCCTCCGTCATCCTCCTCACAGATGGCAGCACCTCCCCCTCCACTGTCTTCACGGTGCGTCCACACTACTGCTCCACCTGTGTCCTGATACACTGTCTTACACCACCTGTGTGTCCTGATACACTGCCTTACACCACCTGTGTCTCGACACAGTGTTTCATACCACCTGTCTTTGACCAGGTGAAACAACCTTCCATGATCTGGCGTCAGTTTGTTCTTATGTGACCTCAGGAGCTGGGATGTCTGGGAGCGCCCTGGGGGGTGACGGTGTTCCAGGTACCAGCAGAAGTTATCAGCTCCAACCTGACGGAGTCGCGCATGGCGCAGGTGGTGACCCACGCTCGCCAGGTACGTTCCTGCCAGTAGTTAGTGAGGTAGGGAGGTGGAGCAGTAGCGAGGCAGAGAGGTAGCCTCACTACAATCACAACAATCCCTTGCGTCCCCCAGAGATACAAAAGTCGCCACCAGTTGTGACACAGACGTCGTAACCAACACCTACTTGTCGACAGGTCCGACAGGTGTCGTGGTTGGTGATGGTGGTGGTGGTGAGCGACGACCCGACCTTCCTGGCCGCCTCAGCCGAGTGGGCCATCAAGGGCCATCTTCTGCTGTGGGCCAACAGGTTGCTGGCCATCACCCGCCGACCTCTCTCTGACCTCCGTCACCTCCACACTTCCTTCTCCATGATGAACGCCATGTTGCTCATCCTGGACGCCTCCTCCAGGTAATGACCAGCCACCATGTTGCTCATCCTGGACGCCTCCTCCAGGTAATGACCAGCCACCATGTTGCTCATCCTGGACGCCTCCTCCTCCAGGTAATGACCAGCCACCATGTTGCTCATCCTGGACGCCTCCTCCTCCAGGTAATGACCTGCCACCATGAAATATTCTATATTATAGGTGGATGGGCTAAAACAAGCACATAGAGAGGCCAGGAACAAGTGTCTGTGTCATTTACAGTTTGTAATCTTGCAGAATGTCACTTGTAATGGACACGATACAGCATTTTTTCCTTCAAAATAACATCGTTAAACCGTAAATCTATATTTGTGTGGCTGGAGGTGTGAGATGTACGTCCACCTGCCCTACAGTGCTAGGGACGAGCAGCCGTTACAGGTGGCCACCTGGTCGACCCATCACGGCCTCGCCCTCAACACACGTCTTCCTCTGTATCCTGACAAGTTCTCCAGGTAAGACGCTTCGTGACACACGTTACTCCACTTATATTCGTGATTTTTGTATAATGCTGTGCATTCGTAAGTCTTAGATAACACGAAGTCTTTCTTTGTGTTGCATAGTCATGTGTATACATTATTTTGAGTAGATAACTGCCTGATTTGTTTTGTCTGTTGACGTCTCAACATAGATAAGAGAGCAGAGAAGAGGTCACAAAAGTTCATGGTTGGGTTATATGGATCACTGTTGCAAAGTCAACGTTTTTGATTCTTAGTAAATACCTATATTAATCCCCCTGTCATTTCATTATAGTATACAGGAATTTTGCTTATTTTGGCATTATATCTAACAGTCCTGATTCAAATAAAAATTGACCGGATTCACTAACACAACATCGGTTAAGATCATAAAGTCGAAGACCTTTAAGGGAGACCGTACGTTCTGACCTTTGAATCATTTTACGAAATGGTCTGTATGGTTAACGAAGTCCTTAATTCTAGTTCAAATGATCACCGATAGAATGCAGTAGTAAATCTGAGTTTACCAATCACAGCGAAGACAATATTTTGCCTGGAATTGTTCTGTCAATCACATTGCACCGTCAGGGAAAGAAGTAATCAATCATGTAAGAGTTTCATCAGCTGATTGCTATAAGCAAGAAGGTACTTTGGTACGAGTAATAGTACATAGTTCAATTACAGCCTCGCTCCTGTGCCAGCTAAGTCCACTACGGGCTCACCATAGCCCGTGCTATTTGGAACATTTTGTTCCGAGTAGCTGAATCTAAAACAACAAGAGATACGAGTACTTACCTATCTGTGGCGTTAGTGAAGGTGAGGTTTGGTGTGGCAGGTTCGTGGAGGCGCCGCAGCTGGTGGTGGCGGCGGAGGAGTTCCAGCCTCACGTGATTGTCCAGACCCGGACCTCAGCCCTCTCCTTCCTGGGTCCCATGGCGGAGGCTCTCCACCTCTTGGCGCGCTCACTAAACTTCACGTGAGTAGCCCCCGTGCTCTGGCTCACTCGGCTCAACCTCCGACCTGTCCTGCAACCCTTGCTTAGGCCAGGCTCGTTAGAGAAGCTGTCTCCCGAGACGCATTCATCAGTTTGAACACACTGTGTAATAAAAGTAGGTTAGTTCTTACATATTAATTAATATTATACAATAGAAGTAGAGGTGTAGTTAGGCGTATGTTAGGGGTTTAGGTTCTACTGGCAATTATTTGTATTTGTAGTACGTTGTTGAAGCATTTACAGCGTTGTGGTTCGAGTAAAATTCGTCAGTGAAGCACTTGTTCAAGAAGTGTTCGAACGTCATCAGTTGTGAGTCGAGTATAAACCGTTTTTCATACATAAACAATTAACACTTGAAGCCTGAACAATTTTTCATACATAAACAGGGGGGGATTAATGAGCATTTGGCTTTTGTTGACGAGGACGGGCTGTTATGTAAGTACCTCTGGCTCGCTCACCGTCTCGTAAGTAGCGAAGCAGCACTGATACTCACTCATTTACTTAAAGTCGTACGAGTCTCGTTCACTCACTCAGCTTCTTATGCCTCACTCACCATTACCTAGGCTGACCAGCCTCTTCCATCAACCAGTCCAAAAATGTTGGCCAGTAGCTCTTTGATGAAGTAAGTGTCATCACTGTTTAGGAATGAGAAACTCTATACACACAAATCTCAACCGATTGCATTTGATTTTTCTCGAAAAATGCTTCATTCATTTTCTAATGTTTAACTCGCACCTCTCTGTACTCCACCAGCTTACTATAAATACAGTTAAACGATAACTAAACTCAAATTCATAATCTAGGTAGCATTCTCCACCAGATTATAATAATACAGTAATTTAGATTTGAGATTAAACAATTTTAATAAACAGAAAATCAACATTCTGTTTATGCCTTCGGTGAGGATCGTAGCTTGTTTGAGAGTTGTTTGAGGATGAGTTAACTGTGTTTAATTTTTTTTGCCAGAACTATATAACTTTGACCTAGTTGGCAAGGACTAACTTTACAAATATCCCAATTAATCCATAGTTTATGCTCGTGCAAGTTCTGACCGACTCCTAAACTACATTTTATCCTACTCTATTCTAACCTAAACTAACTTAAGTTTAATCTTAAGTTAAACTAACCTTCCTGTCAATTTCTTCTCAAAAAGGCATTAACGAATTGACAGTAAAATATCTTTTTCCAGGTACACTTTTCTGCGTCCACCTGACGGCTCCTGGGGCGTCAAACTGCCTGACGGGTCTTGGACTGGCATGGTGGGCATGGTTGGTAGGAAGGTAGGCATTATTGGGCAGGCTTATTGGAACGTACGGTGGGCAGACACTGTTACGTATAGTGGGTGTGTGTGTGTGGGGATTGTGGTCCATACTGCTGGCAAATTGAACAAGCGCAAGGGCATGATAGGTAATGAGACAGTTATAGTTTGTGAAATATTAATTATTGGTCAATAATTTTATATTGTGATTACCTGGTGGGTTGAGTACAGGAGGCAGACATTGGTCTGGGGCCCTTCGCCGTGACATCCGTCCGTGCCGAGATGGTCGACTTCACCTATCCCATACTGGTCGATTACGGCAGGATCTTGGCCAGACGAGGGCGACCTGAAGTGGACCCGTGGAGCTTCCTCCTGCCGTTCACGCCGGAGGTATGGGTCGGCACCCTGGCGGTGCTCCTGCTGGTGCTCTCTACTGTGGCCGTGATGCAGCGGTGCTCCGCGCGCATGACCGCCCCGCGGGACAGATGGCTGGGTGATACGCTCTTCACCTACTCCAGAGTGTTGCTTCAGCAAGGTTCGTCCCTCCTCCAGCTTGCAAGAGCGTCTCTGGTTGCAAATTCGTTCGAATATTTTGAACACACTTATGCTTATAAAATAACATTGGCCATCTGGTCCCTCTAGAGACATTGAGAGAGTTGGAGTTGGTGTTCCAAATGCCTGTACCGGCATTATATATCTTATTTGCTTTAGGGTTGGATTTGTTTACAGAGTAGCAGTGACGTCCAAGGGACCATAATATTTCTTTCAAGTGTTGAACTTATTCAGCTGTTGCCGCCACAGACCTGACGTGTGGTTGGAAGAGTGGCTAGTGATGGGTGGAGGAGGGACTAGTGATGGGTGGAGGAGGGACTAGTGATGGGTGGAGGAGGGACTAGTGATGGGTGGAGGAGGGACTAGTGATGGGTGGAGGAGGGACTAGTGATGGGTGGAGGAGGGACTAGTGATGGATGGAGGAGGGACTAGTGATGGGTGGAGGAGGGACTAGTGATGGATGGAGGAGGGACTAGTGATGGATGGAGGAGGGACTAGTGATGGGTGGAGGAGGGACTAGTGATGGGTGGAGGAGGGACTAGTGATGGGTGGAGGAGGGACTAGTGATGGATGGAGGAGGGACTAGTGATGGGTGGAGGAGGGACTAGTGATGGGTGGAGGAGGGACTAGTGATGGATGGAGGAGGGACTAGTGATGGGTGGAGGAGGGACTAGTGATGGATGGAGGAGGGACTAGTGATGGGTGGAGGAGGGACTAGTGATGGGTGGAGGAGGGACTAGTGATGGATGGAATGATTCTTGATATTAAGTAGAACTAGTCCCAGAAATGTCCAACATGTCTCTACCAAACACCTAACAGAACAGCCCATCCTCTCGAATAACACATCGTATTTTGACGTAAAAATCCCCAACGTCAAAGATGTAGAAAGCCGCTAAATGCCCAACAACAACAATAAAAACTAACGTAGCAGCCTAGCTGACCAGACCACCAACCAAGAGGTCTGATCAGAGATCGGGGCGCTGGGGGATCGATCACTGGAACAACCATCCCAAGGTAGGAAGGATGGATTCTGCTAATACTTCATAGGCCTCCACAGATGCAAGAGGGTGCAGTAGGCTGTGGTGGGAGCGTCTAGTGCTGGGGGGATGGATGTTGTTGATGTTGGTGTTAACACGGAGTTACTCGGGGACCCTAACATCCATCCTGGCCGTCAGGTATGTACCGGAGCCCTTCCAGACTCTCCGAGCTCTGCTGGACAGCCCCCGCGTCACCTTGGTCTGGGAAGCCAACACGATGTACGTGCAATACTTTCGTGTAAGTGAAAAGAGCTGTGGTTCAATTGTGGTTATAGTGAGTGCGATATATTGGGAATGGCCACCACTTAGCTTTTGCAAATGAACGCTACGATTGGTTGATCTTCAAAGATGGCCTACTTCACCTAAATCAATAATCCTTCTTAGCATTAAGAATTTATGATGAAATATGTCCTGTGATATGCTACCCCACAATGCTACATTCAAATTCTAATTTGAAATGTTCAATCGTGAACAATTTGTCAGGAACCAGTCAGTATGACAGTACATATAACCTTGTATTTCTTCCTTTCTGACGCAACTCTGGATGCTGTTCAAGTCGGTGGACTCTGGCATCTTCAGAGAGGTGATGGACTCGGAGAAGGCTGGCCGAATTAAATACGTGAAGAGCACAGAATACACCTACATGAGGGATCATCTTGTGCGACAGGGCAAACACGTCTTTCTTGGCGAAGACCTTAGCAGCAAGGTCCTCATGGCCCAGGACTTCTCCAACACAGGTTGGAGAAATTCAGTTCATCCTTTTTTTTTAAAGACAGGATATTAATCACTTTATGATGTCATTTACTTCAATGTAGGGGAAAGGATGTCATTTACCGTATATACACAAGTGGCGCGACAAGAATGTAAAATTCACACCAATATTTTTATTTTATTGCATTACTCTCAGAATTTATTACATCTCTCAGAATGGTCGAGAGAGTGCATACCTGACCTGGCCGTGTTAATGTGTTACATAAATGACTTCCCATTAGCCCATTATGATTTTTTCAGAGCAACCTTTTCCCCCATTTCAAATTAAAGATGACCAAGAACCATCCTATTACACGTGTCATAGAAAGTTAACACATCATCACCAGTAAGCTGAACACATGTTTCCCTGAGGTCTTCTAGTTGGCAGTAGACTTCTGGAAGTCACATTTATTGTGACTTCCCGTTATTCTTATGCTGACGTCCAGATAATGACGTCTACAACTGCAATTCTCGACGGGTTATGAGGCATCAGTGTGTTACTTAGTGGGAAAAAATTGTACCTATCAAATTATTGCGGCTCAAAGCCCATATTATCACCGAGAATATCCCAGTGTTACTTTGTCTTCAGTGGTTACAAAAAAACATATATAAAGTCTCTGTAGCCATGTTGGGGGGATAAGTGAGGAGAGAAGGATATAACCGCCATGCCTTGTCTTTCTAAACTGTCTTGTCCCACATGATTATTTCGGTCATTGGTTAGTGGATATATAAACATCCCACAACACTGGTTTAGCTCATTAAATTATGTAGAACATATCCAGCCTGAGAGTAAACATATTTACAGAAGCTCTATAATAGAACACAGCTATACTCAATAGATTTGTTCTTTAAGATGCGTTATTGTTAAGTTATTCATCTTATTTTATATCTTTGCCTCGAAATAATCGTCGAGTGACAGGTGCGTGTGACTTCTACACTTCAAGAGACAAGTTCCTGCCGTTTATGTTCGCCATGATAGGCCAGAAGGAGAGTCCACTAGTTCCAGCGCTAAGCCAGAGGTAGATATACCTTCTTCTCGGGTGCATTGTCCCTTACGAAATCAAATTGTCTTATAAACTGTAGCTACAGCAGTCCACCAGGCCTATGAGGCTCCCTGTCCTAAACAATGAAGCACCATAGTAAGAAAAACCTGCTGAAATAGATATTGATCGACATGTTCCACTCCATATATTGAAAGACCAAACAGTGAGATTAGCATACATATACAAATGTTGAGAATCAATTTGATAAATCATTATTCCAATCCACCGTTTTCCCCACACACACACACAAGAGATAATCGCCTAATCCTCTGCAGGTACTAAATTAAAAATTAATGCGATCATTGCTGCATGGGTAACAGCTTCTCCCCCGAATCAACCTACCCTGGCTTTGCGCCCTGGTGAGGCCACTCCAGACCGACAACCAGAGCGCAACTCCATAGTCTCCTGAGACTGATGGATGCCTACTAATGTGATCATTTGTAAATTTAAATTCAGTAATACTTTCTCTTACACGTGCGGCAGGATCCAGACCATGACTGAGGCGGGATTGTACTGGCATTGGCTGGAAAACATGATCCCCAACTCCACCTCCTGCGTTCGAGCCGCCAGCAAGATTTTCGTCGAATCTCCACTTCAAATTCCTAACCTCTGGGTACGAAACATTCCCCAAAGTCTTGATTTTAACTAGTTTATTAAGGACATAACCCGCCTCCCCCATCACTCCTATCCTCGGCATGCTCGATAAAACATTCCAAAAACTGCCCAAAAATTTTTGATTTGCTCAACAAAATTGACAGAATTTAATGTACTATACAAATGCAAGTAATTATCAAAAGAATTCTACCGGCCTGGAGAATATTTAGCACCACATGTAGAGCATTACAGGTAAATAAAAGCCTCAAACCAGAGCAAGTACAGACGTAAAATCTCATTCTCTTTGTATATTTCAGGGTGGAAATATGTGGAAATATATTTGTATATTTCAGGGTGTATTTGTGGTGCTGGCAGGAGGTCACATAGTGGCCTTGTTGGGGTTCGGCTCCGAGCTGCTCACCGCTCCTCTTCACTAGACAAGAGGAGTGAAGACATCACCACACACCAAACAGAACGCTTTGAAGGAAACCAACGTCGTCTATGCCACAGAAATTATCGACAGATACAATGACAACGGGAGACTCGACAACAGGAGACTCGACATCAGCGAGGCCCTACACATCAAAAAGTCAAATCCAGCAATCGCCAGTCAATAAACACATAATTACATTCTACCCACTTCAAGACTCCGAACAACACAGAAGCAAGGCGATAAAACACACATTGTACCCATCGATTCATGTCCTATCAACTCACCCTAAAAACGAATATAAATATTAACAGAGTATGTAAAATTGCCTTTAAAAATGTAAGAAGTATCTTGCGAGACGCTTATAGGCGTCAGACCATAAATAAAATGTAAAAATGAACTTTGGAGAGTTAATTTTTCAACTACCCTCGACATTGAAGAAAAACATAAGAAATATTGAGAAGATTCGTATTAGCATCATTAATCTTACCCTTTCGGTTATATTCAACAACATATGTTTACAAGAAAGACTGCTACCAAAAAATAAACTAATATTATATATATATATATATATATATATATATATATATATATATATATATATATATATATATATTATATATATACAATCTTTCCCTCAGCGACTCACAGTGGAAACAGGCCTCCCTTCCTGTCAGACTCGGGGGCCTTGGCGTGCGCACAGCAACACAAATTGCTGTACCAGCATTCCTGTCCTCTTCAGTGGGGTCTGACAACCTGGTGAAGGAAATCCTACCTGAGCACCTAGTTCAACAGGCAGGGGTGCATGATCCCAGCTTCACAGACTGCACAACCAAATGGGTCTCTCTCGCAGGACCAGCACCCCAACCACCGCCTTCTGAAGCCCATAAGCAATCCAGCTGGGATCGCCCCATTGCCGACCAAGAAGCTGCAACTTTGCTAGAAGCTGCGACGACACCACATGACACTGCCCGACTTAGAGCTGTAGCAGCTCCCCATGCAGGTGATTTCCTATTAGCAACCCCAATGTCAGCAACCGGCACCCGTCTCACACCGCAGGCCCTCCGAATTGCCGTGGCTCTTCGCCTAGCTGCCCCAATCCACACCGAATACAGGTGTATTTGCGGCGAGGCAGAGGCCGACAGATATGGACGGCATGGCCTTCTTTGCCAAAGGACCGGAGGATGGCATGCAAGACACGGCGAGGTTAATGACATTATTAAGAGAAGCCTTACCACAGCCGGTTGTCCAGCAGAGAGAGAGCCCCGTTACCTAATGTCCCGCAACTCTGATGAGCCTGTCGGTCGCCCAGACGGAATTACGGTGAACCCCTGGAAGAATGGTAGACAGTTGGTGTGGGACTACACTTGCGTTTCAACTTTAGCCAATACCTATGTTGACTTCAGTGCTACACAAGCAGGAGGAGCTGCCAATCACCGGGAAGCGGCCAAGTCACGTAAATACAGAGACCTTGAGCACCACTACAATTTTGTCCCCATTGCCTCAGAGACGCTTGGTGCCTGGGGTAAAAGTGCTGCTAGCTTTTTAAAGGAGTTGGGGTCTAAGCTAATCGAAACAACTAGAGACCCCAGAGCTGCCAGTTTTCTTTTTCAGCGCCTTAGTGTGGCAATCCAGAGAGGAAATGCTCACTGCATCCATGGTTCGTGCCCGCCATCTGAGGAGCTGGAGGAGCTATTCAACTTATGACAAGCAGCCTTGTACCCTGTATGTAATCAATATTGTAACTTTTTTTGTGTAATGACATTTTCAAATAAAGTTAGATAAATATACACACTTAACAAAAGAATAGGGGTGGTAGGAGAAGAAAATATCAAAGTGTTCAGTGAGGATCCAAAAGGTCTTCTCTGAGTACTCTTTATTTTCTTCTCTGAGGCTATGGGTCCCTACATTTGCACCAGAGGTGGTACCCCTTCTAGGTATATATATATATATAATTTTACACATCAGGTTTGTGGAATGGAACTATTCCTTCCAGGTTTTCGTGTCTCTTGTTTGACCACAAAACCAGAATTTAATATCAAGTTATAATAATTCGCTTTTCTTCCTACTTTACTGTGTTTTGTTTCGCATTTTTCCTTGTTCCATGTGGCAGCCCGAGCTAATATAAGGAAAGGAGAAGAATTCTATTACATGCAAGCATCGGGAGGAAGGAGGGGGGGGTGGGGGGCGAGGCCATGGTTGGTCAACAAAACTGAAAATTATATTTTGAAAATATATAAAATAAAGTCTCTAAAAAAAAGCAATTATAAATAACAATCATTATTGTCGATCATAATTATATAGGCTCTAAAAGCGAGTTTTAAACAACGTTTTACTGTGAAATTCCTATAGATCAGAGAAAGTGTGTAAACTACAATATAATTGCTCTTTCAACTAAACCATGAAACTATTCGCTTAAATGCAGATAAATGAATTTATGTCCCGCAGCTCTTATCACTAATAGCGAACTATCTCCATTGAAGCCCGCGTTGGCTTCCGTAGAAGTCGCGTTATCTCCAGTAGAGTCACCACGTTACTTATAGTGGTAGTGGTAGCGGTGGTGGTGGTGTGGGAGACTATCGGAAACAAGGAGAAACGGGAGACGATAGTCTGAGGGGGGTGTAGTGAAGCTCACGAGGCAGGAGAGACAGGAGACGAAGCCCTCTGGATGTGGTGGAGGCGTGCAGCGACCAGCTCCAGGCCCAGCACCATCAGACCCACCACATCACCAACAGGAGACGAGGCCCTCTGGGTGTGGTGGAGGCGTGTAGCGACCAGCTCCAGGCCCAGCACCATCAGACCCACCACGTCACCAACAACACAGAACACAAACATTCCCTGCAGTTAAAAAACCATCTTAATACGGTGTAAACTGCCAATTATCCTAACCTTCAATCTGGGAAATGCACACACACACACACACACACACAATCAGGTGGTAATCTCTCTGTAACTCTTGTTAATTAAGAGTATCAAGGTTGCCACTTTAATAAATCACTGATTTCCTGTGATAAAACAACAACAATTAAGCTTTGAAGTTATTAAACTTCTTGTTAGAAAAGCTTACTAGACTGCCTTACTGTATCTCTGATGTGTCCCGGAATGTGTGACTGAGTGTCTTAGATCCGTCCGAGTGTGTAACCGACTGGAATTGCCTGTCTATGGCTGTCCCTCTGTCTGTGTGCATCTTGATATGACTGACTATCTGCATATGACTGTGCTTAATAAGCTGCATTGTTCTCCATGCTCGGGGCTTTTAGATGAGCACGTATTAAAAGGACTAACTGTGCTGTTGGAATAGCTAAATCTCTTTTCTCTGCTTACTATCTAAATATGTTTTAGTTACTTATATAATATTCACCGTAACATTTTTATTCTGGAGTTCCCAGAGACTAGTAAAATGACCACACTTGCAGTATACACGAATGTGATATATAAGCAATAGGCTTCCACATAGAACTGAGTGGTAGACAAGAGTATACAATGCTGTACTTTTGAAGTGCAGGGAGAGGGGGTGAAAAAAGGGAGAGGGGCTTATCTTCCATAGTGTAGTAATGTTGATGTGGTATAAGCCTTACCCAGACGTTGGTGAGTGAGAGGGAAGTCCTGACGGTGATCTTAGAAGGTGGGTGAACACACACTGTTGAGTTCCTGTTGAGGCTCCTCATCCAGAACTCGTACAGCCCGGCCTCTGTCATCCACCTGATTCTGAAACACTCCGCATGTTCACCGACTGTCTCGCTTCATGCACGTCGGCGTTCAATCCCCGATCGTCCAAGTGGTTGGGCATCATTCCTTTCCCCTCGTCCCATCTCAAATTCTTATCCTGACCCTTGTCAAGTTCTATATAGTCGTAATGGCTTGGCGCTTTCTCCCGACAATTCCCTCCGTATGTTGACTGGTATTTTGCGTTACAGAGATATTTTGTATCTCTCTCAGATATATAGAAGTGATATTCCTACCATGTCTGAATTTTGTGTAGGCATAGTAACATTTTCGAACATTGAGAAATTACTCAAATATTTCATGAATTAAAAACAAAAACGACTAAAGTATTTTTTTTAAGCTTGTTTCAAACAACAACAATATCCTGAAACAATCTAGTGCTATCACTCCTATTATCCCATAACCTGTTCCGTTAATCTGTAAACACACGCCTATCTGTCTCCTACCCAACAATGCGCACGTACCTCCTGCTTATACCCAACAATGCGCACGTACCTCCTGCTTATACCCAACAATGCGCACGTACCTCCTGCTTATACCCAACAATGCGCACGTACCTCCTGCTTATACCCAACAATGCGCACATACCTCCTGCTTATAGAAGGGATAAGAGGGCTGGTCTTGGGTCCGATCATGCAGTACAAGAAGGACATAAACGCCTCTCGCGAAGTGTAGAAGTCACACCGACCTGTTGAAGCCAAGAGTTAAGGGGTGCACTGATCAGGATAACTATGATCATCAAAGCTATCAGGATTAGCCTTTTGCAGTTTAATATACAACTTAGGTGTGATTTTAAAGTGTAAATGTAAAACGTAAGTAGTTAAGCAGAGACTAAGTCATAATAACAGTTTAAATAACCAAACTCTACACATGTATGAAATGAAAGTAACGACGTTTCAGTCCATCCTGGACCCTTATAAAATCGTGTCACTACGAGACAAGAGCCCAGGATGACCCCCAACCCCACCACTCTCCTTTCATACCTGTAGGAGTGGAGTATTAAGTACTCAAGGCTCGCCATAGGAGATACCGGTTTTAGAGAAATCTTGACCCGCGAGGACTTTGATGGTCAAGCCCTCGCCCACGAAGGCGTATGGTCCCTCCCGTACCAAATGGTCCAGCATGGTCGAGTACTCCGTCGCCAGCAGGTACATGATGTGTCCGGCCTGGTCGATCTGGTGCACCTCGCGGAAAATCCCAGATTTAGACGTCTGTCAAACAAATGTGGCAAAACTGATGAAGATATCCAACATTCTGGAGGTTGCGTTGTGTTACCCCTTAATGGAGACTGAAGATCGGTGAGGTCGGGAGGGGGACAGTGGCTTACCACCGACGTTCACAGAAGGTAAGGGCTTTGCCATGGACATAAAGACACGTCCGAAACGCTATGCGTGTCAGTGGCTTTGCAAGAATGTAAAAGCATCAATGTTAGGTGTGGTATATCATGCCCTAGTACCATCAATCTTGCTTCTATATTGTATGATGTATTCGTTATTTTCTAATTTTTCTTGAATTTTTCTTCTATTCTCTTTGACTCTTCTCCTCTCTAGTCCCTCCTCTCCCTCTCTTCTCCTTCTCCGCATTCCCTTCCTCTTTCACAAGCCCAATGTACCTTCTTGTGTATATAAATAATAATACAAAATCATGCAAATCATGCGAGGCCATTATTTAAGACAAAGGAGAATACAGCCTAGAAGTGAGGGAAATGTAAATATATTCCCTCACAAACCACACACACGCATGTATCTAAATAACTACCTATTGCAAAATGTGTTGATTATTAGATATACACAACACAGGTGGAAATATTAACTTTAACATCTACCACTTTGATATATCTGGTACGCAAACTTTATAAACTTCAGGGTATCTAAGAACAACTAAAGGCTTACACGGAAATAATTGACGTAAGCAGTGTTGTACTCCCAGATCATGGTAGTGGAGGAGGAGGAGTCCAGGAGAGCCCGCAGGGTCTGGAAGGGCTGAGGGATGTACCTCACGGCCAACAGAGACATGAGATTACCGGAGTAACTCTGCATCAACACCAGCATCATTAGCATCCAGCTGGCCAGCACCAGCCGCTCCCACCACCGCCCCGCCGGCACTGCCGTGTCTGTCAAAGGGGTTTTCACATGACTAAAAAATACATTTCGTCAGTACAATGAATGAAATTCACTATCACACGATAACTAATCTAATCCAGCGGTCGCCAACCTTTCGGACCTCAAGTCGATTTGAGAATGGTCCAGGACGGACCGAAACGTCGTCGTCCCTTGAACTTCTAGTGTGTGGTCTGGTCAACATTCTTCAGCCACGTTATTGTGACTCATCGCCTGCTTTCGGACCTCACAGACAGTTATTAATCTCGAGGTTTAATTAACGCCTCCACAAAACATTACAGATCATCCAGCAAGTGTAATTTAGTTCTAAACATAATTCAGAACTAAAGTTCACTGTTACACGGGATACACCTTTGCGTATAAACACCTTGGTCCATAATTTTGGTTTTTGACGCAAGTTTAAGCTTGCAGGAACAAAAAAATATATAACCCTCGGATGCTAACCCATTTCTGATGCATGATACCAAACTTACTTTTCTGTATCGTCATGCGAAAATAGATGGATAGCATTGGGGATCCGACGGAGAAGAACGATGCGAGCAGCAGGAGAGCGACCAGCACCACCAGGAGGGACCCCAACAGGGCTGCCCACACTTCAGGAGACAGGGGCAGCAGGAACCCCCACGGGTCCACCTCGGGCCGGCCCTGACCTCCAAGTATCCTAAGGGAGTCACTGACGACTGGTGCCGTGTAGTCTACTATCTCGGCTCGTTCTGCCGTGATGCCAAATGGACCGAGTCCCAGGTCCACTTCCTAAAGCCACCAAAAATTACAATTATCATGTCGTATCCCAATGAATAATGCACACATGGAGAAGTAATGCAATAGTGACCAAAGAGGAGAGCTTTATCTCATTGCTTGATCACCAATCTAAAAGATTATGCAGGCTACCAATGTTGTTCATATTGATATATTTCCCCTATTGTTTCAACATACATTGTAACAATGGGAATGACAACTGCCAATTTCTGACACCAATAGCGAGAACACAGTTTTTTTTGTGTGTTTTACACAAAATATTTCTGCTCTGAAAAAGAAAAATTATATATTCTTAAGGTTTTATTTGCTATCATGAGCCATTGTTAAAATAATTAAGATCCAGAAGAGCTAAGTCTTATGGGCAGTATCAAGGAAATTTGCTTAGCTTTGCTGAACTGGTTTTAATGATACTATGGAATAAATGTGTGGATGTGAAATACAGTGACGAATATAACCTCACGTTGAGGCATAAATATGCTCGATGTTTTTAACATAACTCACCTTCCTGCCCACCATGCCCAGTTACACACTCACCTTCCTGCCCACCATGCCCAGTTACCCTACTCACCTTCCTGCCCACCATACCCAGCTACACACTCACCTTCCTACTCACCATACCCAGCTACACACACTCACCTTCCTACCCACCATACCCAGCTACACACACTCACCTTCCTACCCAGCTACACACACTCACCTTCCTACTCACCATACCCAGCTACACACACTCACCTTCCTACTCACCATACCCAGCTACCACACTCACCTTCCTACCCAGCTACACACACTCACCTTCCTACTCACCATACCCAGCTACACACACTCACCTTCCTACTCACCATACCCAGCTACACACACTCACCTTCCTACTCACCATACCCAGCTACCACACTCACCTTCCTACCCACCATACCCAGCTACACACACTCACCTTCCTGCCCACCATACCCAGCTACCACACTCACCTTCCTGCCCACCATACCCAGCTACACACACTCACCTTCCTGCCCACCATACCCAGCTACCACACTCACCTTCCTACCCACCATACCCAGCTACACACACTCACCTTCCTACCCACCATACCCAGCTACACACACTCACCTTCCTGCCCACCATACCCAGCTACCCCACTCACCTTCCTGCCCACCATACCCGTCATGCCCGTCGCCGTGCCATTGGCCAGCTTGGTTCCAAACGACCCGTCAGGCGGCCGCACGATGGTAAAACTGTCAGGAAATGTCTCAAGAAGAATTATGTTTCGTGACGAGTAGAAATAGTGTATTTTCTTATATTTCGAGCACCAATGTTTTACCTGGCATTACTGAAGCACAATTAACTGTTGCAAGGTAAATATGCAATTACTGTGCCAACTGAATAACCACTGTAACATGTCCTTGTGAATAATGCAGAATTATTATACACAGAAATCACAATAGCGTGATGAATCAAATGATTCGAGGAATCGAATCCTCGTCACGGCCCTTGTGGATTTGTTCATTTCATGCAGGATTTTAATATTACTATTATTGACTCAAGAGTTTCATATCTTTGTCACACTTCCGTATCTTCAACACTGAGAAGTAGATTTGAATTTTAAAATGTTTGAATCAATTTATCCAACGAGTGAGAACACATGGTCAGATGCATTTCTTTACAATACTTGGAAGCATTAGTAATACAGACTGCCAAATGGTAATAATTATGTCATAAATTACCCCAAACACTAACAAAACTCAAGATGTTAGCATGAGACTAAATGCTAGCAAAATGTTTAACATGTTAAACTCGGTATGGCAACGAGTTAAAGACACCGCCATCATTGCATAATATAGACTATAATATCAACTCTAATGAAAATAAATGGGCTATTTTTGGGGGGCTAATGTAATCCTTCCTAATTATGATTTGTATCATATATCAATATCTTTCAAATTTGAGAGTGCGAATTGGCTGGATAAAAACCTGGATTATGGTGATATATTTTACCTGAAGTTAAGAGAGCGACCAAGCAGCTGCAGGAGCTGAACCATGGCGCCGGAGAACTTGTACCTGTGGCCTAGACCCGTCTCCCTCACCTCCACGTGTGGAGGAAACTCTTCCGTCGTCAGCGACAGCGTTGGTCTCTCCGTGAACCTGGCGCGACACACCGCGTGAATGTTTATCTATCTACCCTGATGCAGATCCAAATCAAAAGACCACAGAGGGGAAGGCCCGGCAGTACCTCTCGTCCAAGGCTTTCACCCCGGTCCTTATACAGTGTGAAGTCTACAAGACGAGCATCAAAGAAAGTGCTCATCACGTCACAAACTTGGAATACGGTTATGCTAATGTGATTTAAAGGTAAAATCACCAAGCAGGATAGAAAGATGCTGGGACAATGTTGATTAGATGCGTACTTTGAGTAGGATGTAAAGTGAGTAGAATCCTGTGGCTTGCGATAGGGCTCGTGGAATGGTTATGTGATAAGGTCGGCAGTTGAGTGCCTCAGAGGGGTGCCGAGGGAAGGGGTGGATGTTGTCAAATGTTATGTATAATGTAAATTGTCATCCACACTTCCCCTGGAAAAATTCCCGTGTGAGAGTTTCGGCCTCACACGCGTGGGGTCCATGGTTCGAGTCTCCTAGAGCCCAGGTGAATGGAATTAGGTGTAGTTTTTTTTTTTTTTTTAGATTCAGCTACTGGGAACAAAAGGTTCCATGCAGCACGGGTTATGGTGAGCCCGTAGTGGACTTACCTGGCACAGGAGCGGGGTTGTAACTTTGAGCACTGTAGGTATAATAACGGAGCTCAGGTTAAGGGCCGTTATCGATTTTTAAACTAAAAAAATACAGAATAAAATGCCAATTAAGCCAAGGAAGCCAAAGAAGACGCACACATTTTGATACTGCAAGGATGATTTTTTGGTTATCTATATTCAGGGGGGAGGGGGGGGGAGTGAAGGAATTGGCATCTCTTGTTAGGTATTGACCTGATTTCCCCATGTTAAAGAAAGTTCTACTGAAATTTAGGTCAAATAACCTTTCGGGAAAATCAAGAGATCTGACTTTTCAACAGAGATCTCAAGCGATACCGTTATTAGCTAAGCTCACTATTACAAGATTGCAGTCGATAATTTATTGTTCGCCTTCACAATAAGTAATTATAGTAGTATAATGAAACATGCACATAAAATAAGTCACAGTGACGTCAATGAAACAAATAACTTAATCCAAATATGTGTACTGAAAGTGACGAGACGATTTTGCGTGTTAAGAACACACACACACACACACACCTTCACTACCGCCCTCAACCCACAGCTGCTAACAATGTTTGCGAGGCTGAGACCCACAAGTGTGCTACGATTAGCCAATAGGTTTCAGTTCAAGTGAACACTTTTTTCCCCAGGACAGTGTTGAAATAAGTAGTCACGAATACTACCAAGTCCACCACAACAACGATAATCCCCGGACTCGAACTATAATTTATTGAAATGTATCGTTCTGGTCATACATATGGCCATTTCCGACACGAAACAAACACGCAGCATCAGAGGGAAGACTCGCCTGTAGAACTTCTCGGGGAAGAGCTGGAGGCTGGTGGTGAGGGAGAGGCCTCTGTGGGGCGTCCACTTGGCGACCTGCAACACTGTACTGCTGTACGGAACGTGCACCCACACGCTGCACCTGCACATGCAACAATCACCAACACAATCATTAAGTCGACCCGTGTTTCAACACACTCGACAGCAAGGCAAATAAACACCACATTAATAAACAATTTATCCAATATCAATCGTCATTTTGTCATTAGGACTAACAAATCTGATTATTTTGTGGTGGTCGTATATGCTAACTAGTCCAAGTGGCACTTCTCAACCACGCTCAGTATATCCAGAGGTAATAAAGCTGTCCTGTCCAGGAACAATTAAACACGTGCAAATTTTGTGGTAGGAAGTGCCTGTACATATAACATGGAGGCTGGAGAAGTAATCATTTTTTTTGAGTGAATGTCCTTGCACGCATTTTGTGATACTCTACCAGATCACAGCGAGCTCAAAGGACCTATGGAATATATGTACTCACGTCGCCACCAGTGTATTGAGGTACTGGTTGCAGAAAGGTGTAACGATCTGGAGGCGGTGGCCAGGTAAGCACCATGGCTGTTGTTCATTACCTGGAGGAGGCGTCCAGGATGAGCAACATGGTGGCTGGTCATTACCTGGAGGAGGCGTCCAGGATGAGCAACATGGCGTTCATCATGGAGAAGGAAGTGTGGAGGTGACGGAGGTCAGAGAGAGGTCGGCGGGTGATGGCGAGCAACCTGTTGGCCCACAGCAGAAGGTGGCCCTTGATGGCCCACTCGGCTGAGGCGGCCAGGAAGGTCGGGTCGTCGCTCACCACCACCACCATCACCAACCACGACACCTGTCGCACCTGTCGAGAGGTCAGCCACAGGTTATATCGTCTGTCTGACAGCTGGTGTGGCTGTTGAGAAGACAAGAATGGAGGAAACTGACAGGAGGCCTACTGGTCCACTGAGACAATTACCATCGTTATAGCTAATTCATATATTTGTCTACACCAGGGGGTTCGAAAACTGTATTCCCGTCTATTATGTTATCTGGCTACGTGTTAGTAATTCAACAAACCTATTACAAAACTAGTTTTTTTAATCGAAAGATTTACAGTTTGTATCTATTAATTCGTGTTGTATCGATATCCCTTACAGTATAATTAATATTCGAGAGGTTTTCTTAAGCTGGATTATTTTTTTTACTTACCCAGACCATTACTAGTCTGGGGGTAGTTTACCTTGCGAGCTTGGGTGACGGCCCAGTACAGCTGCGCCTCCGTCAGATTGGTTAGGTTGCTGCTCTCTACTGCCACCTCAAACACCGTCATTCCCCAGGGCACGTCCAGCCGCCCTCCCAGCTCCTGAAGAGAAAATAATAAACAGTGAAGCCTGTTTACGGCGGGAGTTGGCGATTTATGGTCACATGTTCAATACAATATGCCCGTGCTACCTCTTGGGTGGCTTAATCGTCATCAATCAATCACAGGTGGAGCAGTAGTGTGGACGCACGGTGAAGACAGTGGAGGGGGAGGTGCTGCCATCTGTGAGGAGGATGACGGAGGAGCGCGGCCGCCACACTCTGGTCGCCACAGCCGCCACGCACCGCCCCGCCGCCCTCAGCGTCTCCTCTCCAACTGCTCGGCATGAAAAGATGGCTTTAAATAGTGCGACGAACAAGTTGGTGGCAGGGTTAAAGGAATTGACCAGAAAGAGCCAAACCAGTATAGCAAGAACCTAGTACAAGGGTCACTTGTAACATCGGGTGATCGAACAAAGACATGCAAGAAGCAAAACCAACGTTGCATCGACTAATCCAATTTTATGGAAACTATTTCTAATCAAATTTGCACGTAAACTAAGTCAAAAACAATTTGTATCGATGTAGACGAAAGTTAGACTGCTATAAACATACGCAGCTGTTTGCTAATTTGTTGTGTGCATCTGATCTTATTTATAAAATGTTAGCCAGGTGACTGGCGCAGTCTTCCAAATTTACCAATTAAATAACTGACGGGATGGCGATTCTGTGAACGCACTGGCACACCCCCCCCTCTCCCTGGTAGATCTATGGAAAAAGACGTTAGTGTAACAAAGAATCTACATTGAAAACGTAGATCAAGACGTTACGGTAGCAAGCTTTGTCCGATGGTAGACGAGAAGGCAGATATATATTCTCTAGCCATGAGGTATGTTCAGAGAGGAAAACGGGGCCAGAACGGGGCTCTGTGCTAGAAAAGGTTTACCCCTCTACTTCCTTTGGTAGAAAGGTGAAGTTCTTTGGCATAGTCACCTTGTTGCAATGGCTGCAAAGCGGCCTAAAGGCCTTAATGCAAGGCGATGTTTGAAGGAATAAATTAAACGTACTCGTCTTTCAGGTGGTGCTCTGATATAGAGCACCACGAACAGAACAGCACCTTTCTGTTCCTCGAGGCAACCCAATACACCAGTTTAGGCGTGTACGTATTTTGCCAAAATACGATGAGCTACTGCACTATCTGGTGCATGTACAAGCCACCAACTGGCCTACCGTGGCGACCTCTGATTATTGTTTGAATGCGTCTTACTACCAAGTAACTCCTGAGCTCAATATAACGACAATCTAGCACATCAACATAATGAAAATAGATTAACTTACCACGAAGATGAGGCAATCGGGCGACGGTGAGGCAAACTGTTGCAGTGAGGAACAGTAGCAGTGACGTTGCCATCGTCATGATCACTGTTCTTCACATGCCGACTGTCAGGTTTCGTCGAGAAGAAAGCTTTAGGAGAAACAAAATTAAATTACACTTTTAAATATCTCTATTCCGTTCAACAGAGCGTGCAAATGAACGACATAAAACAAAGAGAATTAAAAGAGCCTTCTAAAGTTTGCGTACAGAACGAAGCTTATTAAAACGTTACGGCAGTTGACCAGACTACACACTAGAAGGTGAAGGGACGACGACGTTTCGGTCCGTCCTGGACCATTCTCAAGTCGATTGCGGTCTGGTCAACATACTTTAGCCACGTTATTGTGACTCATTGCCTGCGTTACGGCAGTTGCCATACCAAATAAGAACACAAAAGAGAAACTAGTTAGTACTGTGATACATAAACGATAACAATAGAATTAACACGAAATTGTAAGGTATGGTAATTATGAGAAGAAAGTACTAAGTATGACTATATAGTCCTTGGACAGGGCATGATGACAAGGAGCTGGAACAGAACGCAGGGGATGAATTAACGGGTTAGAAGGCACATAGAATGATAACTGTACTCTATGCGGGTTCAGTACACAAATAATTAGCCTATCCTCGAGATGACAATTCAGTTATCTCAAGGATAGGCTACGTAGAATACCTCCCTGTATACGAACATACGTTAAGGGCCTAGGAATCTAGATTTGTACAGTGGCTTCGTTCTCTACTCGCAACAACCGAGGATCCCGGGTTTGATCCCCGGAAAGGGACAGAAATGGTTGTGCAAGTTTAATTTCATCTGAAGCTCTGTTCACCTAACAGTAACTAGGTATCCGGGAGTTAGGCAACTGTTGTGGGGTTGTATGCTGGGGAGGGGTCAGTAGTTCGACTTTGGGGACCTCAATACAAGCCTACAGTATATACACAGGCTTCCAGTCCCAGACAAAGCGATTTGTTAATTAAAATATTTGTTCGATGTTCCAATAAAACCAAGACCAAAAAGGCTAAAATGTGTAAATTCAAAATGAACAGAAAATATTTAGAACACAGTGAATCTTTTAAGCACAGAATTTTAACTTTAATCTGAATTAGAACATCTTTTGCAGCAATAGTGGTGGTGGTTGAGCAGGATCGAACCCTCGTCACTCCAGACGCGCGACTTAAATATCATGGACTGTGATTTTTTCCAGAACATTGGTTCCAGTCCCCCCCCCCTTTCATTCCCCTAACCATAGGTTATTTTCACAGACATCTCACACATTATATTGTGATTTCATTGTGTAGTTCGATTTAATATGGTCCAGTTATCCGAAACACCCTAACCTAAGGTTAATCAGGGGTTGTAGTTAGTCATAGCAAGCCTAGTTAGGTTTGTATATCTACCCAACAATTAATTTCAAAGCCGCGCACTTCCCATGAACATTGTATTATTCTGTTCGATTTGTTGCATTCTAGAGAGAATTTCCAAGAAGAACTTAAAAAAAAAGATAACCATGTTCTCATAAAAACAGATACAACTAATCTTATAACTAAAATATTGTAATTATCTAAAAATGGGCTTTAGTGTACACGTCAAACCCAGAATAAAATAAAAGATTAAATTTTTTTTTATTTCCTCATTATCTATGACAAGTTTAAGCATAACCATACCATTAACAACATAATATCAATAAGTTACTCTCGAGGTTCCGTATACTCTCCAATTAAAACCACGAAAGTAACAAACAACTCACTTAGCTGGTCAAGGTAAGTAAGTTTACAGGTGAACCAAGCGAGACGTCCACGACCCACCGCTGCCGTCCGTGGCCAAGACTCGACTGTTTATATATTAGTCCTCCCTCCCGCTTCGACTCCCTCTATGTTAGGCTTTTAGACCTATCAACCTCTGGGAGGGTTATTTAGACCATACAAATGCTTACTGACTAACCAGTAAGTACACTGTAGTCCTGAACATAGCTCAGGGTTAATGTAACCTCTCAGTGTATATAGACTGAGATGTGGGGGGGGTATACCCTTACTGTATATATATTCGACTCCCTTTCCTATCGGCGGAAGAAAACGTAAGCCAGGAAAAAGGTAGTTAATGCTGCTGTTGCTCGTTTCCTTAACTGCTCTTGAGCAGTTATTTTAACCTCTAAGATAGGGTTGCCAAATCATAACATTCAGAATCTAGGACACCTCCACTAATAGTCGCCAAGACTCTTCGTGCCCTCTCTTAAATTTTTGGTGTTAAACATAATTACCATTATAACGGAAAACACAAGCACAGTACAGAATTACTTCGAAAAAAATACAATAAAATTACCTTTACGTAAGGGTGATCATCTTGAATTGCTATAGTTACAATCTTCTTTTCCCCCCCACTGTCTGTGACTTTATGTGTTCATTGCATATTTTTCTGTAGATCTGATTTGGTTTTCAGCAATGTCTTATTGGACTTTAAAAAAGCGAAGAAAGAACTAACTAAATAATGTGTGTAAATCACGAAAATTAACGTGATGAAAAATGTGACAGTGTCAGACCACGGAGGAAGATTTGAAACAGGAATTTCCTTAAGTACTTTCGTATATTAAAACATTTTCAGAAGGAATGAAGATGTTTTTTCAAGGCAAAATTCCTTCTGAAGATGTATTAATATACGAAAGTATTAAGGAAATTCTTTTTCAGTTCTTCCTCCGTGGTCTGACACTAAATAATATATATAATTAGATAATTTTTTTTTAAGTGATGGAACCTGAAATTCTGGACTTTGAGAGAAGTTCTAAAATTCTTCCTGGGCATAAATTTTGACACGTGAATCGAGAAATGTCCTGGATTCAAGCCAGAATTTACATTAGTTTGTCTACATATCTAAACACACTTCAAATTCTTAATAATAAGACTGTAATGTAAGCACTATCTTATTCCAATAACAGTCTTGGCCAATATAATCTGTAACCTCGTAAGACCAAGTAATTCTCAAGTCAACTAACCAAGTCTTAAGGGTAAGTCTACTGTAAGCAGGTAAACTAAGAACCAAGTTAAAATTAGGAAATGAATTATGTAACATTGAATGTGATCGGTGTTTGACAGACCGCAGTGATGAGGGGATATTAAAACACAAGTAAAATCATATAATCTATTGTAATAAACAATCGAATTACAAAACAAAATATTGGGGAAACTTCACTTCTTGCATAACAACAACAATCATGTCAGATGGCTAGTAATCTTCACAATTCAGTTATCTCAAGCAAATCCGTGAGAATTTCATACATGATGCTTACAATGCCGTCACTCCATTGTAGTTCTGAGGTGCTCACATGAGTTCCATATATGAAAATCCTAATTTATTATTGCACCTTAGTTTAGATCATAAAATATAGTGCAGTGTTTCTCTATAGCATGAGACAATAGGCCTACTGCAATATTTAGTTTCCCCTCTCTTCCATTTCATTGTGGATATCTAGAGGGAGAGGAACTGAGCAAAGAACAATGTTCTCTCAAGAAAATTATTTTATTATTACGGCACTTCTAATCTAGTGTAATTATGTATCTACTTTAAATAGTATACAATTATGATGATTTCATGTAATCTTCTATTATGAATTTCCTAGATAAATAATATATTGTAATTTTAGTTGTAAATTAAATAATTTACAAATCTAAACAATATGTTGCACTGAGAATGCTTATATTTATTTATGCTGGAATAAATTAGATAATTTTTGTTTAAAACATAAGAGACTCAGAACCATGTTATGAGTCATTTTTTACACAATTTAAAAATTTTGGTTCCTGGGTAGTAAGTGTTATTTTCTGATTGTCTATACCTCCCAAAGTATAGAAATGGTGGTTATTCTCCTCGAACTTTGCTTTTACCTTTATATTTGACAGCTTAAGAAGGACGTCTTTAAGGGTTATTTGAAGGCTGCCGACTCCTTATCTTGAGCTGTGACACGTTATTTCATAAATCAGCAGCCTTCAGGTACTTTCAAAACGTCTTTCCTACGCTGAGGTAAAAGTACAAAGTTTGTACTTTTTTTGTTTGAGGGAAATAATAGCCATTTCCATACTTTGGAGGCTTAAACAATCAGAATATAACACCTACGTCTCAGGAACAAAATCAATTTTCATAAAGTGATAATTATCGGTGTTTTTTGAAGATGTGAAAATTATCGGTGTTTTTTGAAGATTGATAATTATCGGTGTTTTATCCAACAAATGACATTCGTGTGACGGTCGTCACACGAATGTCATTTGTTATTGTGGATTAAAGCAATTTTCCCACAATATATGTCAAGTTAATTGACCAATAGTTCGATGCAATTAATCTATCTCCCTTGTTAAAAACCAGCTCTACGTTTGAAGATAAAAACAGATCATTAGCTTGAATGATGCTAGAAATTTATACCATCGTCCAGAACCTACAGCCGAACCAATAATGATCCACATTCCTCTTCATTCGGAATTTATCTAACTTATGAATTGAATTTGCACTGAAGCTGTGTAAACTGACACTGACTCATGGGGTCAACAGCGTCACTCTTGTCTCGTAACATCACGCTCTTGGTACTTTGTTTCTTGCTTTGTATGTTCTAGTGCTGTTAGTTTGCCAGATTGCTTGGTACGTTTGCCGGTCTTCATTCCTTTGATCGCTTCCAACAGCTTTATCATACGTCGGGTTTGTTATAATAGAGTAGAACAAGATTATTTCTATCGTTTGTCGTGTTGCAGGTCTATTTCTGTTGGTTCGTCAAGCTGCAGGTCAATTTCTGGTGTTCTTTCAGTGTTTTCCTCTGTTGGCCTATTTCTGTTTGCGCAACTTAAAGTTTTGTGATTCCAAGTCAAAGTTAAATTACTTATTTGTCGTATGAGCAACACAATTTCCTGGTCAATCCAAGAGAGAGTTTAGACGACATGACAGCTGCGAAAATATATACTCTGTATGAGGTCACCCGGCACCTGTTTTATCGTTTCTGTTGTCACACTGCCGGAGTACTTGACGTGGCGTGTCACACTGTTGATCTGAGTTCTGTTGAATTATTATAACGCTGATGAGCTGGTGTTGATTTTGTCGCTAGGCTTGTTTACATGCGCTTCTCTCCGTCAAAACTTTTGTCTGGCATGAGGTTACTTCCAATTTGACGGTACTAATGCTTCTGTGTTTGTTGCCACTTTTAGCCTGGATTCTATTGTAAAGCAGTGCTGGGTTGGTAGAGGGATTTTCCTACTGTTTATCTGTGATCGTCTAATATTCAGTGCTTGTTTTGCTAGACCCTGAAACAAATTCTAAACTAACTTTCCCACTCATGTACTTGTCGGCGTGTCTGTGCTTTGCTAACCTATTCTTTCGTGAGTACTAATTTCACAGTCTTTGTATTGTGGTAAGTTGTTCTTGTCAGTGTTATGAGTATGTCGTGTACTGGGACTGGTCAGGAGGCCACAACATTGCACTACTAGTAGAGTCCTGTTTAACGTCATCCACTGTCGAGTAATATTTGAACGCTGATCCAGTAGCAGGATGTCTCAGTGCAAGGCGAAGCTCTGGGTTATTTTGAACGTGATTCACATTACCAGTATACGAGGGCAAGGATTGGGTTACCCCGTCCTGGTATCTGACAAGACCTGAGTTCGAGATGCAGCAAGAATGGCAAGGGTCGTGATGTTGGGTAGTGGCTTGTTGGTCGGCCACTGTAGCCATGTTACATAGAAATAGTCGAGGCCGCCCACTGCGAGCTTTGTTCTCGACGCTGCCTTCTTGATACCACCGTCTGATCCACCTGTAGACAGTAGTCACACTCGCTCCTGTCTTCTGCGCAATCGTGCGAACTGGGAATCCGTCGACCCACATGCGGATAAACACAGCGCGTTCTTCCACGCCCGTGGGTCGGAACTGGTGTTTCCCCATCATAGTGACGCTCTGTGAGGATAGAATCATAAACACATCTTCATACACACGTATATTATCAACATTTAACTTCTCATGATGAATGTACCGATACAAATATAAGATGAATCAAGATCTAGTGGGAAGTTAATACAAATTTCAACTTATTAAATTTATACATTAAGGAGCTGAAAGAATAACATTACATTTTTTTTGCGTCAATCTAATTCAGATTCCTTTTTATATATAGACAGTTCTTGTGCGCATATTTCCCCGTGAGAATCAAGGTAGCTGATAATCAACAAATCATGGCGTGTCGGAAGTTAAAGCAGAATTCAATTATTTACCTAAGTATGACACTGCGAGAAATATAGCACTACATACTCTAGGACAGAGCAACCCCCAATTATCTCCTGCTCTGACATGTCCCGCATAATACCACATAAGAATTTCTTACTAATGATGCCAACATTCGTGGGAAAATTTCACCACAAACACAGGAACATGGTAAATCTCTCACTGTCTTGCTCAAACATGTAATTGTGCGGAGGAGAAAGTGCTATGCCTACATGGCACATTGAAGGGCTAGGGGACAGGAACGATCCAAAATCCTTGGACCGTCGGGATCGAACGGCGACTGCACGAAGCGAGGCTGTCACTGTACTTTGACATATCCTCATATCAATTAAGTAGTTCTCACATAAAAATACAAGACAATTATGTACAGATAAAACCATTTTACCAATGTCATTAAACACTTCAAATAGTCGTAAAACATTAAACAAGACGACGGAATTCATGTGATGAAACACTCTGTCGTCTAAAGATGACCGTGTTCCCGCAGCTGACGAAGGCATAGCCTCGCCTAACCTTCCCTGGATGGTCTGTACATTCCATCCAGTTTGAACTAATTTGCTCACAAGATATGTAATCACTTCAACGTATGGTACAGAGTTAAAAGATGTTAAATATTTTTGTTTGTGATTTGTAACTTCATGCGGCGCATCAAAACGGAGGAAAGTCAGCAATTGAATTCTCTTCCTCCCCAGTGATTACATATAGGAAATAGTAAAAAAAAGAATGAAATTGTAAAAAATAAAACGTGAATTATACAACAAACATTATAAAAATATGATGACTAAGTAAAAAAATTAAAATGAATCAAAAGCCTTACACGTTAGAGCTTTCAGTGAACAGAAGTCCAGCTCCAGAGAGGATGATGATTGCGTCACAGTAAAGACAGACTGGATCCGGCTGGCGGGTTGATGGCCATAGTCTCCACGGAACTAACGCCTCCATCACCACCTTCCACACCTTTATTGTCTTCACTCGCAACAACCACCACACTAACTGTGCCCTCATTGGTCCACGGTGAGCCAGGGACGCTGATTGGTTACCAGCTGCCTGTATACAACGTCGTGAGTGGCCCGGCAGTAGTCTGGTCGCCAGTCTGGTTGATGTTACTGGTTGGGGGATGTTGATGCGCGCGCTTGGCCTATTTCCTCACAGTATACAGTGACTGCTTCATGCACTGTGATCATAGGAGCCTCGCTGGAGGAGTGGAAGCTTATTTATCTTTCATAATGGCTAGTGAAAACAAGCAGCATACGACTATACTGGCTAACCACATAATCATAATAAAAATGATAATGGCAGTTAACATATAAGGTCACACATCATCTCGGGTCAGGCATAAATAACCAGGTAGCATTAACGACGGGGGATTGTTGAATTGTTTCATGCGAAGTTTTGCATACAGACGAATTAGCTTGTACGTATAATTAGGCGCTGCCTCGCTGGGGGTCAATAAGTCTTCTGCGGTTTAGATTAATTCTTACGTTTATATATATATATATATATATATATATATATATATATATATATATATATATATATATATATATATATATATTATATTATATTATATTGCGTAGTAGTGAGGACCATTTGTAGGGGTCGAACCTAGTATATGATTATGGTCCGTATTTGTGCTGGCCGGGGGAAAAAAGCGTCAAACATGATAGCCGAGCTGAGAAAGCAGGAGAAGGATATTGGGGCAAAACAATAAAACTTTTGAGATTTTTAATAATATATATATACTAGACATTGGTAACAAAGAGGAACACAAATATAATTGTACTCTAAAGATATAGTACATAAATAGTAAAAAAATATTATAACTAAAATGTATGAATTTAATGTTTTTGTGTAAATGGAGCCCCCAAAGTCTCTCGAACACGTAGTCAAGAACAAGTGTGAGTGTGGTTGACCTAGCCGGCCTTCCTAAGCTTCCCCAACGTCAAAAAACTGTTGTACTAAAGTGCCCTTATCCTAACTTACCAGAGAAGGTATCCAAAACTGAAAACAGAACAGTATATCAATTTCACGAGCCGCTGACATTTTCTATAACACGTTTTAGGCTTTAGCTGAAGTATTCGTCAATATGCGACGTTCTATTAGGAGGACGAGTGGGTTGACCAACGTGGGGGTTGGACATGGATGGTTTTGAAAGCAGACGAAGACCTCTGGCAGTGGAGGAGATCACGAAGACTGGAAACCAGGAGACGAAGACCACTAGGTGTGGAAGCGTGTGGCGATCAGCTCGAAGCACAGCGCCACCAGACCCATCAGATACCCAACACCACAGATCACAAACATTCCCTGTAGTTAACATACCATCATCATCATTATATTTTGAATGTTATAACTGAAATAGATGAGTGTAGTACTCTTGAGTGCACAGAAGCAATAAATATTATCGCAATCTCAATCAATTATCACATGGATGAATGTACCCAAAGCTAGAGAATATTGGGTTGTTGTTGTCTGCATATTGTATATATTTTATAATGAATACAACGGCAGTATAGCACAGCATTACCCAGACGTTGGACAGCGCGAGAGGGGATCTGACGGTGATCTTGGAGGGAGGGTACAGACACACAGTCGAATTTATCTTCAGGCTCTTCATCCAGTACTCGTAGAGTCCAAACTCCTTTATCCAGGTAATTCTGTGATTCACATGAGCTGGATTAGTTTAGATGTCTTAAATTAATGCCGTTTTTATTTAGCTGTAACTAGGTAGCGTGGTGTTCCGTAGCTCTGTAGTGCCGGATCGTCTAAACGAGCTTACATGTGCTATAAAATTAGTGGGTTGGATGAATGTATATATTTCTGGCATGAGTGTGCGTATTAGCGGCATCTCACATTTTGTATTAAGCTTTTATTATTGTGTATACATTATATAACTATATATATATATATAATGTATGTGTGTGTATGCTCACCTCCGACTTATAGAAGGCACTAGAGGACTGGTCTTCGCTCCTATCATGCAGTACTGGAATGGCATAAACCTCTCCCTCGACGTGTAGAAGTCACACCGACCTATGGGAGTCGGGGAAGACGTTTTCAAGATACACTCGAGATGAAAGAGTACACCTATTATCATCATGGAAAAGGTCTTTCTATTTCTAGGAAATAGAAAGAACTCTATTTCCAGACCTAGGTTTGGAAATAGAGTGGTTAGCCTATTGAATAAATCAACAGGTATATGATAAACTAAACAGATACTGTGAGATATCCATAATATCAATAACTCTAAGATATATATATTATAACATATTTTTATAGCCACCCACTCACGTAACATAATAAATATATGAATTTGGGTGGGTATAAACAGGAGCTGGCTCGTGTTATACTATATGCCTTCTGCAGTTACCTTGATTCTTATGTTCCAGTTCGCTTTAATCGCTACCAATCCTATTATAATTAATACTTATAAGAAGAACTGGCTTCCTGAAACCAAACCTAATTCCTGTTGAAATCAGATTCTGAGACGTGAATTATGAGGTCATATTGTTCATCACAGAATTTGTAGATGAAAAGTTTTGCTTGAATATTACAATAATGTTTACATATTATGAGTCACAGAACAATTAGAGATATTAACTTCAATCTCTCTTTATGTATTTTAAGTTATAATTTTCCGTCATTATATGTACAAGTGTAATTTTATGATACATGTATTAAATAAGCAAATGCGTAAGTCAATACAAATTTATTAACTTGTATTGATTTTCTTGTTATTAATTTTATTTTTATCATTAAAAAACTAAGCTTTACAACTTTGGGCATTAATAATGTACTGAATAAGCACCTGTTTGAGAAAAGTCCTGAGCCTTGAGAACTTTGATAGTAAGGTCCTCGCCGACGTAGACAAATGGACCCTTTCGTACCCTATCGTCCAACATGGTCTGATACTCCGTAGCCAAGACGTAGGCGATACGCCCTGCTTGCTCCGATTCCCGCACCTCCAGGAAGATCCCGGATCTTGACATCTTGAGCAAAAATTGCGAGGAAAAAACTGATGAAGTTATCTACATGGTGAAGACCAGGCATATGTAGACAAGTTAATCGTAACGTCTCGGAAATTGGAGAAAGAAAGGGGGAGAAAGTCACAGTGAGGGAGGTAGAGAGGTGGAAGGGAGGAGTGAGAAAGCGTGGTTAGGAGAAAGGGAAAGTTTAAAATTGAGAGAGAAAGAATGAGAGAATGGAGGAATGTAAAATGAGTAGAACGTGGTAGAAATGTAGGCTTACGTCAAAGCTGTCTGACGCCCCATTGATTGTTCAGTACGTCAAGAATGTGTGATGTTCCCCAGATTATTCAGTACGTCAAGAATGTGAGGTATTCTGATTGTTCAATACGTCAGGAATGTGAGGTATTCTGATTGTTCAGTACGTCAGGAATGTGAGGTATTCTGATTGTTCAGTACGTCAAGAATGTGAGGTATTCTGATTGTTCAGTACGTCAGGAATGTGAGGTATTCTGATTGTTCAGTACGTCAAGAATGTGAGGTATTCTGATTGTTCAGTACGTCAAGAATGTGAGGTATTCTGATTATTCAGTACGTCAAGAATGTGAGGTATTCTGATTGTTCAGTACGTCAAGAATGTGAGGTATTCTGATTGTTCAATACGTCAGGAATGTGAGGTATTTTGATTGTTCACTACGTCAAGAATGTGAGGTATTCTGATTGTTCAGTACGTCAAGAATGTGAGGTATTCTGATTGTTCAGTACGTCAAGAATGTGTAGTGTTCTGATTGTTCAGTACGTCAAGAATGTGTCGTATTCTGATTGTTCAGTATACCACACATTCACTCACAACTAGACGAGTACATTATGAAGAAAAGACTTACACGAAAGTAACTGACATAGGCCGTGTTGTACTCCCAGATCATGGTAGTGGAGGAGGAGTCCAGGAGAGCCCGCAGGGTCTGGAAGGGCTGAGGGATGTACCTCACGGCCAACAGAGACATGAGGTTACCGGAGTAACTCTGCGTCAACACCAGCATCATCAACATCCAGCTGGCCAGCACCAGCCGCTCCCACCACCGCCCGGGCGGCATTGTCGTGTCTGAGGACAAGAGGCCAGATTCACGAAAGCACTTACGCACGCACTTACGAACGTGTACATCTTTCCTCAATCTTTGACGGCTTTGGTTACATCTATTAAACAGTTTACAAGCATGAAAACTTCCCATTCAACTGTTGTTATTGTTATAAACAGCCTCCTGGTGCTTCGGAGCTCATTAACTATTTAATAATTGGAAACAAAGCCGCGAAAGATTGAGAAAAGATGTACAGGTTCGTAAGTGCTTGCGTATGTGCTTTCGTGAATCTGGCCCAAGGTTTGTTTATATTTTGAACTAAATGGCCGTACGCAGAAAATGTACAATTATGCGTATACAAACACACACACACACACAATAGTAAATGAAAAAAGTAATATGGCTCAGATTGCGATGATTGAATCAATGCTTCAGAAAAGGCAGCATGAGAGAACAGCCTGACATGCTGTAGTGAGCGTTGTTCATGAACCCTGGTACAGCATAGGCTACAAGAAAACCCAAAAAAAATTAACCTTTAGATGTCTGAATTATAGTAAGAAATGTATTCCCATATTCTCAATTCCAAAACAATAACAAATATTTGTTGTTTACTCTTTCTTCTTTGCATGTAATGGCAAAGACAACATTCGTCTCTTTCAAGGGTTGGTTTGGTGTTGGGCTTAAATGATTCTCAACCTCAAGATGTTGTTAAAGCAACCACAATAGCTTACTGATCAAGCAGTAAGTATGCTTCAGCTCTCAACATAATCGAGGACTAAGGTACATATCTCTACTCACAATCTTGTTTTCGAGATGCTTATTTTATCACCCATAATCAGTGTTTTGACCCACATAATGTGCCTTGTGTATCTTGATTTAGCTGAGTTGCCAGAAGCGCCACGTACCATTGGTCTCACAGTCAATAATCTACATACTGTCATATTAACAAAACTAAACTCACTCTTCTGTAGCGTCATGCGAAAGTAAATGGAGAAGTCGAACTCTTCGGGGGAGAAGAAGGAGAGCAGGAAGAGAGCGACCAGCACCACCAGGAAGGACCCCAACAGGGCCGCCCACACTACAGGAGACAGTGGCAGCAGGAACCCCCACGGGTCCACCTCGGGTCGGCCCTGACCTCCAAGGATCCTCAGAGAGTCACTGACGATCGATACCGTGTAGTCTATGATCTCGGCTCGTTCTGCCGTGACTCCGAACGGACCAACGCCCACGTCAACCTCCTGAAGGCATGTAAACACTTGGGGTTCACTTTAGCTTCCGAATGATATAATGAAAAGGTTGAAGATGAAGGAACGTCCCAATATATGTGGACGTTTATTAAAACCCAAATTTTCGGATGTACGTCTACCTTCTTTCTCAAGGTACTGTACACAATGTTTAGCATTATAGTGTGAGAACATTGTATACAGCACCTTGAGAAAGGATGTAGGTTCCGTCCGAAAAATGTGGTTTTTAATGCACTTACACATATATTGGGTCGTTCCTTCACCTTCATTCAAGCACTACGGATTTGTAATAAGTTTCTCAATGAAAAAGTTATTATGCTGGAAGAACCAAGTGAACAAGGACAAAGACTATTAATGATTAATAAATGAACCAAGCATAATCAGACCCAGTAGCTGGATTAAGCCCTAATAATATCTCTACTTGTTCCAGTATTTACGGCAATAGTAGTAGTAGGCATCCATCAGTCTCAGGAGATTATGGAGTTGCGCTCTGGTTGTCGGTCTGGAGTGGTCTCTCCAGGGCTCAAAGCCAGGATAGGTTGATTCGGGGGAGAAGCTGTTACCCAGGCAGCAGGTCCCCCCTCTCCACGACGCTGAAAGTCTCCAATGGAAAGGCATACGCCAATACGATTGGTTTAACCACTTCAATGTCTCCCTTCGCGGGTCTGAGATGGATTGCACCAATGACTGTCACACTACAACATTCGAGGACACTAGTGTGAAGTTATCCAGGTCATGTCTAATGTTAAGGGGGTAACTCCCTTGGTCTCGCGTAGTACACCTCCTGCAGTGCCTTACATCTTCCCAGCTGCGCCCCTCTCACCTTCCTGGCCACCAAGCCCACCATCCCCGTCTCCGTCCCGTTGGCCAGCTTGGTCCCGAACGACCCGTCAGGTGGCGGCACAACGGTGAAGCTGCTGGTGATGTGACGGTAAGTGTCTGTCTCATGACATGGGGGGGGGGACAGATGTTTATCATGTTATGTAAAGTTTTAGGGGACAAGTACATCCAAGGTGAAATGTTAACTTTTTTTTTAAGAAGTGGCACTACATTAGCAGCCTTCCATGCTTCTGGAGCAACTCCACAGCTATTAAATTAATAGTTTGAGAAAAGGTCTTTGCGACATTCTTGGTACTATATTATACAATGAACTAATGTTGTTTGTTACTACCTTACCTGAAGTTGAGGGAGCGGCCAAGCAGCTGGAGGACCTGGATCATGGAGCCGGTGAAGATGTACCTCTGGCCGGCTGTACCAGACTCCTCCCTCATCTCCACGTGCGGCGGGAACTCCGTCGCCGTCATCTTCAGCGTCGGTCTTTCCAGAAACCTGATGAAGCACACAGATTCAACACACCTCTCGCCAGGTTACCCACCTTACGCAGCACACCTCCATCAACTATATAATAATTAACACTATATAATACTGAGCAAAACGCATTAGACTCAATATAGTAGTAAGATCAGATATCGCAAAATAATATTTTAACTTCCTAACCAAGTTATGAAGAAGCAAAGGTTAATGCCAGAAGCATGGAAGTAGTCTAACTCTTTCGGTCACATATAATAACACACCAAAATATAACTGTCACGAAATAAGCAGGCAGCATCAGAGGGAAGACTCGCCTGTAGAACTTCTCGGGGAAGAGCTGGAGGCTGGTGGTGAGGGAGAGGCCTCTGTGGGGCGTCCACTTGGCGACCTGCAACACTGTACTGCTGTACGGGACGTGCACCCACACGCTGCACCTGCACATGCAACAATCACCAACACAATCATTAAGTCGACCCGTGTTTCAACACACTCGACAGCAAGGCAAATAAACACCACATTAATAAACAATTTATCCAATATCAATCGTCAGTTTGTCATTAGGACTCTTAACAAACCTTAGGCCTGATTATTTTGTGCTGGTCGTATGTGCGATCTAGTCCAAGTGGCACTTCCTAGTGGACCTATGAAATATTTGTATCAAAGTCGCCACAGGATGAGCAACATGGTGGCTGGTCATTACCTGGAGGAGGCGTCCAGGATGAGCAACATGGTGGCTGGTCATTACCTGGAGGAGGCGTCCAGGATGAGCAACATGGTGGCTGGTCATTACCTGGAGGAGGCGTCCAGGATGAACAACATGGTGGCTGGTCATTACCTGGAGGAGGCGTCCAGGATGAGCAACATGGTGGCTGGTCATTACCTGGAGGAGGTGTCCAGGATGAGCAACATGGCGTTCATCATGGAGAAGGAAGTGTGGAGGTGACGGAGGTCAGAGAGAGGTCGGCGGGTGATGGCCAGCAACCTGTTGGTCCACAGCAGAAGATGGCCCTTGATGGCCCACTCGGCTGAGGCGGCCAGGAAGGTCGGGTCGTCGCTCACCACCACCACCATCACCAACCACGACACCTGTCGCACCTGTCGACAAGTAGGTGTAGGTTACGAGGTCTGTGTCACAACTGGTGGCGACTTTTGTATCTCTGGGGGACGCAAGGGATTGTTGTGATTGTAGTGAGGCTACCTTCCTGCCTCGCTACTGCTCTACCTCCCTGCCTCGCTACTGTACCACCTCCCTGCCTCACTAACTACTGGCAGGAACGTACCTGGCGAGCGTGGGTCACCACCTGCGCCATGCGCGACTCCGTCAGGTTGGAGCTGATAACTTCTGCTGGTACCTGGAACACCGTCACCCCCCAGGGCGCTCCCAGACATCCCAGCTCCTGAGGTCACATAAGAACAAACTGACGCCAGATCATGGAAGGTTGTTTCACCTGGTCAAAGACAGGTGGTATGAGACACTGTATCAAGACACAGGTGGTGTAAGCCAGTGTATCAGGACACAGGTGGTGTAAGACAGTGTATCAGGACACAGGTGGTGTAAGCTAGTGTATTAGGACACAGGTGGAGCAGTAGTGTGGACGCACCGTGAAGACAGTGGAGGGGGAGGTGCTGCCATCTGTGAGGAGGATGACGGAGGAGCGCGGCCGCCACACTCTGGCCGCCACAGCCGCCACGCACCGCCCCGCCGCCCTCAGCGTCTCCTCTCCAACTGCTCAGGCATGAGAAAGTATATCAATTATACGAGAATGAAAACAAAATCCATAACCAAATCATTTTATTTTATTGAAAAATGTCAGAAAGAGTTAGATCAAATATTCTAGCAAGAATCTTCTCCATATTTCTGATGCTTTTAATTTGAAAAGGAGTTTGAAACATTCTTTTTTCTCCAACGTCTAATAGTTTTACATGGCGTGACGTTAAGAGAGTTTTTCGTTGACGCTCTCAACATCTTCAGCGACGGAGGGAAGATACACGCTACCTAGAACAACGAAATATATAGTCAATATAGAATCATTGATCTAACCTCTTTCAATAACGTACGTCTTCAAGACATTATATAAATATATGTATATATATATATATATATATATATATATATATATATATATATATATATATATATATATATATATATATATATATATATATATATATATATATATATATATATATATTATATATATATATATATATATATATGGTCCTCAAGCTATAAATCACTATAAACTATTTGGCCCTTCGAGGATTCGAACCTGGGCGACCAGCGATCACCCGACTGGCTATCCAGCACTAGCGTCCCTCCACCATCAATTGCCTATAAGTGATGGCTGGTCTTCAAACCCACATACGTCTATATGGATTCCATTACCATCCATAACCAGGCAACAATCGTGGTTCATATCGGATATCGTTTTTCGTAGAATCTTTAAACATATTAGGATCCCGCTGGAGGATGTTACGTAACACGTTAACTTAAAAATTGAAGAACATAGTGAAATTAGGGAAAAAATATATTAAATACTCTCGCTCTATCAGCATCTTCGTCAGCTGTCATTCCCTCGGTGAAGATGATAGTTAGATAGACAGCGATAGTTAGATAGACAGGCAACAGCGATAGCTAGGTAGACAGGCAACAGCGCGAGAGAGACAGGAAGACAGGAGAGACAGGAAGACAGGAGAGACAATTACTTAACAACTTACCACCTGGCCGAGGCAGGTGATGTGCAACAGTCAACATGACAGTCGCAGTCAAGATGCTGACAGTCAACTTGAGCAGCATCAACTCCACTCTCGTCATCACTCTCGTCTTTCCACCACCCCGGCCGTCACACACGTCACGGCCGTCACACGTCACAGCCGTCACACACACACTTACACATTGGGCGAGGAAACAGTCCAATTAGCACCATCGTGTCACTGCTTCTGTGAATGATCTGCTAAGTGTATTTACACATCAGAGTTGACAAAAGTTGATTAAAGAACCTAGACGCTGGCTATTAAGAAGCAAGATACTGAGTATTAAGAAGCAAGATATTGACTATTAAGAAGCAAGATACTGAGTATTAAGAACGAAGATGCTAGGTATTATAACAACCAAGACGTTGGCTATTAAGCACCAGTACGAATAACAAAGTGTCCTGATGACAGGACACGATGTGTCCTGTCCTGTCCGAATAAAATACATGTCCTTTGTATTTAGGACATACATAAACTTTGTATTAATATATCCTAAATTCAAAGTGTAAGTATTGAAATCCTTCTTACTGCACTACAAAGTATCTAAGGCTTGTTATCTCAAGTAATCTCAGTAGGAGTAGCCTGTGATCTTGTCTAATTACAATAGAAATAGCACTTGTGATCTTATATTATTAGAGAAAAGTTCAGAACTTTCGCGGATATCTTATAGGAGGAGGAGAAGGAAGAACAGTGACACCCTGGGGGAGGAGGGATGGTTCCGACACACCCTGGGGGAGGAGGGATGGTTCCGACACACCCTGGGGGAGGAGGAGGGATGGTTCCGACACACCCTGGGGGAGGGGATAATTCCGACACACCCTGGGGGGGGGAGGGATGGTTTCGACACATCCTGGGGGAGGAGGGATGGTTCCGACACACCCTGGGGGAGGAGGGATGGTTCCGACACACCCTGGAGGAGGAGGGATGGTTCCGACACACCCTGGGGGAGGAGGGATGGTTCCGACACACCCTGGGGGAGGAGGGATGGTTCCGACATACCCTGGGGGAGGAGGAGGGATGGTTCCGACACACCCTGGGGGAGGGGATAATTCCGACACACCCTGGGGGGGGGAGGGATGGTTCCGACACATCCTGGGGGAGGAGGGATGGTTCCGACACATCCTGGCGGAGGAGGGATGGTTCCGACACACCCTGGGGGAGGGGATAATTCCGACACACCCTGGGGGGGGGGGGGGAGGGATGGTTTCGACACATCCTGGGGGAGGAGGTATGGTTCCGACACACCCTGGGGGAGGAGGGATGGTTCCGACACACCCTGGGGGGGGGGGAGGGATAGTTCTGACACATCCTGGGGAGGAGGAGGCGGTAGGGCAGAGAACACCCTCCTCTTTTGTAAGTGACTAGTAGAGAGAGAATACTCCTGATCCTTCCCAAAGTTAATGATTTTATAATGACTATTGTGGGAGATCGTCTAAACAATAACTGCAAAAAACATTTACCCCCCAAAAAAAGGTCAAAACAATATGGAAGTAAAACATTTATTGTGTTTTTTCTGTTAAAATTTATTATTTAATACTTAATATTTTTGTACAAACCTTTCTCACGAAATTTACAATCTTGACGAATTGTCGTAAATGTGCGTTAATCCGTTATTGAGTAAGAAAAACACAGTTTGTTTACATTGTGTACATAATAAAAACCATTTAATTGGTCCTTTTACTTTTCGTGTTGGCTGACCAACTCTCACCATACAAAGTTATTAACTCCGATCACACAAAATTAAAATATTAATTAATAAGTCCACTACGGGCTTACCATAGCCTGTGCTACTTGGAACTTTTTGTTCCAAGTAGCAAATCTTAAACAACAACAACGTATATTAATTTTGTCAATAAAGACGTTAATAATAATAATAATAATAAATAATAATAATAATAATAATGTTATTAGCTCTAGTTGTCTGTAAATATTGACGGTCAATGTTTACAGTTTATAGTTCGATTTGCTAAATTAGTGTTTTTAAGTGCTTGTCTCTCTCACACTATTGGCTAGTTTCTGTTAAGTTTCTCATGCTCTTAGTGTCTTTCTTTCCTAATGTCTGACAGTTTGTTATGCTGTTGGTCTCTTTCGCTGCTTTTTCTCTCTCTCTCTATTTATCTCACTCTTCTTCTGGACTTGTTAATGCGTTACTCTTACTGTTTTTTTACTCTTACTGTTTTTTGTGTTGCTTTTCGAGCTATTATTTTGTTTTCCATGATTGGCAACACTAGATTGTTTATACTGGCTCGCTATACTAGATCTTGTTTATTTGTTTGTGTGTCACGCTGCTCAATTGTTTCCTGCTGGCCCTTTTTTGGGGGGACATTGGCCCGTTTCTGCTATTTTAACATGGTCTTAGTTCCCTATCACTGACACATCGTTCAGGTTGATGCGTCGTTCTTGTCTGTGACGCTTTTAGCGGGTTCCCGCTGGTTCTTCACGTTATCGTTACGTTATAACTTTATCAGCATGTTTGTATGTGGGAATTTGTCTTATTCCAGCATGATGCTAGTTCCCCCCCCTGCTCTGTCTCCCTCAGCATGATGCTAGATGCCCTGCACTGTCTTCCTCAGTACTAAAGCGTCGGTTCTGCTCGCTACCTTTGGTTTCACACAGTGCTCATTGTTTAATATTTTAGTATGCTAGTTTACTTGTGAAAGCCTAATGGTAATTGTGTAAGCTGGGTGTCTCAGCTCTTTGTGTAAGCTGGGTGTCTCAGCTCTTTGTGTAAGCTGGGTGTCTCAGCTCTTTGTGTAAGCTGGGTGTCTCAGCTCTTTGTGTAAGCTGGGTGTCTCAGCTCTTTGTGTAAGCTGGGTGTCTCAGCTCTTTGTGTAAGCTGGGTGTCTCAGCTCTTTGTGTAAGCTGGGTGTCTCAGCTCTTTGTGTAAGCTGGGTGTCTCAGCTCTTTGTGTAAGCTGGGTGTCTCAGCTCTTTGTGTAAGCTGGGTGTCTCAGCTCTTTGTGTAAGCTGGGTGTCTCAGCTCTTTGTGTAAGCTGGGTGTCTCAGCTCTTTGTGTAAGCTGGGTGTCTCAGCTCTTTGTGTAAGCTGGGTGTCTCAGCTCTTTGTGTAAGCTGGGTGTCTCAGCTCTTTGTGTAAGCTGGGTGTCTCAGCTCTTTGTGTAAGCTGGGTGTCTCAGCTCTTTGTGTAAGCTGGAGCTCTCGGCGCTCAGCTTAGTGTTCACATCAACATTCTCAACACAACGACAAGGAAACATTTGCCTGAATTGTTCTGTCAATATTTTCGTGTACAAAGAACTGTGTTTGGTTTGGCGACCAAAACACACTGGCACCCAGAGAGTCCTGGGTCACGCGGTGCCTGGCGTCGTTCAGAGGCACACAATCTCTGAAAGCTGATTTGGGGGAACTTTGACCTCGTGTTAACCGAAATTCCTGATTGCTTTCAAAGGGATTCAGAGAGTCCATATACACCAGTTGGCAGCTATTTACTCCATCCTGGCAACGGATCAGGCTTGGGTTCCGGGCGTAGCGGGTATGGGAGGAGTGGGCGTCGTTGTGTATGGGTGTGGGCGGGTGGCCTGTGCAGGCTTGCCGGTTGCAGGCGGCGGCGGCCGCAGCATTCCGGTTCCGGAGGGAGAGTCGGGGCCTTCCGCTACGAGCTCTGTTTTCTACGTTGCCTTCCTGTTGCCACCGTCTAATCCACCTGTAGACAGTCGTCACGCTTTTGCCCGTCTGCTGTGCGATCCTACGAACCGACTGCCCGTCGACCCACATGCGGACAAATCCAGCGCGCTCGCGAACGCCCGTCGGACGGAACTGTTGTTGCCTCATCATAGTGAAGCTGTGAAGATAAACAAAATCACAGATATGTCTTCAGTTACTTAATATTTAAAACAATTATAATTTGTCAACTCCAGCATGATTCGTAGGTCTTTTTTAATCTCCCGTTCAGTCTTGAGGATATCAATATGAATAACAAGAATCTTCATAAAACGTGTACTTAAGTATAGCGAATGATCCTTAGGGCCAAACTGACCCTAACCCAGAGACGCTTCGTAAGTCTTATTCTACTGTGATGAAAGAAAACCTCTGTATTTCCTTATATATAAATTCATATAATGTTTATAAGTAGGTCTAGAATAGGTTAGGTGTTTTGATTCTGTTTGCAATTATTTGCATATCAAAAGCAATTGGATAGTTAATGATTACTGACCGGTGAACGAAATGACTTTAGAGGCTAATGTCCAGTGAACACTCACAAAAGTCCAGCTCCAGGGAGGGGTGAGGATTGCGTCACAGTAATGACAGACTGGATCCGGCTGGCGGGTTGATGGCCATAGTCTCCACGGTACTGACGCCTCCATCACCACCTTCCACACCTTTATTGTCCTCACTCGCAACAACCACCACACTAACTGTGCCCTCATTGGTCCACGGTGAGCCAGAGACGCTGATTGGTTGGCAGCTGCCTGTATACAACGTCGTGAGTGGCCGGGCAGTAGTCTAGTCGGCAGCCTGGTTGATGTTACTGGTTGGGGGATGTTGATGCGCGCGCTTGGCCTATTTCCTCACAGTATACAGTGACTGCTTCATGCACTGTGATCATAGGAGCCTCGCTGGAGGAGTGGAAGCTTATTTATCTTTTATATGACTTCATAAACACTTTATACTGAGCGGTTATGTGGTGTTCCAGTCGCTGTTCGGAAGTTGCTGGAGGAGGAATAGAGAGGGGGAGGCAGATGATATAGAAAAGGAAGTTTGGAGTAAAGACATCAGCAGGGAAATAAGGAACATGGGGGGTTTTGATACTTACAATATTGTATGGAGCTGCAAAATTTGCATAGCAAATATTAAACATTTATCCATAACACCAATAGTCACGATTATTATTATTATATAAAATGGTATAATTATGTTGTTAATATTAAAGTACTACACATGAGCCATGTTCCTTTACATACAGTCCACTAATAGTGGGGGGTGATGGTTGGAGAGAGGGGGGGGGTCGGAAAATGGGGGAGTTTTGAAGAATGGGGAGGGTGTCCGGGATGGGGGTGCTAGGGGCTGCAGGGCTGGTGGGGAAATACGATAATAAATACTAATGGTACCCATACCTTGTACACACGACCAACACATGAAAACAGTTAAAAATTCAGATAATTTTTTGTGTTGAAAATTGAAATTCAGATATGCATATTCAACACTCCATGTATTAATGTTTCATTTTCCATTGACATGTATCTAACTACATGAATACCTGACCTATCCCATAAACATGACCCTCCAATCGGTTTACAACCATGTCACCCGTTACCGCTGGATGAGCCTGGATGCCCACATCAATCCTACCTGTCAGGGCTGGAACTCACCGAAATCGATCTCAAGACACGGGGCTCCACGGGTTAAGATTACACATGAATACGAGTTTATATAACAAATAAAAAATTATAAAATGTATTGTTAAATTAATAAGTAAATGCTAATTATAAAATATTTAATAAAAGCTTGATTTATAATAAAAATCTCCACGGTACTGACGCCTCCACCACCTCAATGGTGAGCCATCACCATGACGCCTCAATGGTGAGCCAGGGACGGTGATTGGTTGGCAGCTGCCAGTATACAGCGTCTTGAGTGGCCCGGCAGTAGTCTGATAACAAGTTAGATACGGACATTTCTGAAAGTGGGGCACTGGGGCAGACCTTGACTGGCCTATGACAGTCCCCTACCGGAGACGTTTCATGTGTGAAAGTTGGTTAGAAAGCCAAACAGAAATTCTCACCTTTTATTTTTATTGTATACATATACAAGAGTTCATACATTCTTGTACAGCCAGCAGCACGCTTAGCGTTACGGGCAGGTCCTTAATCCTATTTTATCCCCCGGAATACGACCCATCAAATAGTTTAACAACCAGGAACCAGATTCACGAAAGCACTTACGCAAGCACTTACGAACGTGTACATCTTTCTTAAATCTTTGACGGCTTTGGTTACGTTTATTAAACAGTTTACAAGCATGAAAACTTGCCAATCAACTGTTGTTATTGTTATAAACAGCCTCCTGGTGCTTCGGAGCTCATTAACTGTTTAATAATTGTAAACAAAGCCGCCAAAGATTGAGAAAAGATGTACAGGTTCGTAAGTGTTTGCGTAAGTGCTTTCGTGAATCTGGCCCCAGGTACCCATTCACTGCTGGGTGAACAGAGGCTACACGTTAAGGATTGGCTCCCGATCAATCCTCCCCGGCCAGGATACGAACCCACGCCAAAGCGCTCGCGAAGCACCGGGAGAGTGTTTTACCACTACGCCACGGGGGACTGCAAAGTTTATAGAAAATTATTACCCTTATACGTATGGATAATGCAGGCGATGAGTCACAATAACGTGGCTGAAGTATGTTGACCAGACCACACACTAGAAGTTGAAGGGACGACGACGTTTCGGTCGTCGAATCGACTTGAGAATGGTCCAGGACGGACCGAAACGTCGTCGTCCCTTCAACTTCTAGTGTGTGGTCTGGTCAATATGGATAATGCATTCGTACAATGCAAGACATCTAAGCCCTTGCTGAATAACCCATGCCATTGTGAAAGCTTTATTCCCAGTGAAAATGTATTTGTTGTAGCTACTTTTGTAAGTCTATGACAATCTCAGTACACTCAACCTCAGTCTTATTTACAGACAAAGTCTGTAAATAAGACTGAGGTTGAGTGCACTCCACGTCCTGCCATGACCTCTCTCCTCCAAACATATACTTTCACACGACTTCTAGTGTTCATAATCTTAATATTTCATGCAAATGAAAACTGCATGTAACTTGTTGACCAGAACCGTAAATTGCGTCGGGGGCCCAATTTCCTGAGAATGGGCCCCAAAGAACAATGGGGTCCAGTTTCTGAGAGTGTAACCCATCTGCTGCTTTACAGAAGGTGGATATAGGGCCCACAACAAGCAAATTAACCTTAAACTATCACTTGACCAAGTTTCCTCCGATTCTTCATTCTTAAAGTGATTTTGCTTTAAATTCCTTGAGTTTTTCCTTATAATTCACATCTGTCAGCTCTGGTCCTCGTCTGGTGGCATTCACTAAATAAGTCATTCACTGAGATTTATTAATATTGATTTTTATATACATAAAATCAAGTAACCATGCAATGAGGAAGAGCCGTGCCAGTCACAGGCTGAAGGAGACAACATCTGTCCCACACAATCCGTCTCAAGTGTCACCTTCGGATATCAGAAGACCATGAAGACGGAGAGAGAGAGAGACAGAAGACCGAGACCTCTGGATGTCTGGATCACGAGGACAGAGAGACAGGAAACAGAGACCTCTGGCTGTAGAGGAGATGTGTAGCGACCAGCTCAAGACCCAGTGTCACCACACCCATCAGGTGACCTACAGCCACAACCACAAACACTCCCTGAAATCCAATACAATGAGCAGTCTCCAGGTGCCGGATGTCCCCCCCCCCCTTGTTGTAAAGCTCATTTCTCATCTTTAATTTCCTCCAGGAGAATAAATACATATATACAGCATATACAATTTTAGCGAACAGATGTCAACAAAGAGTATTTGCCAAGTAAGAAGTTAGGAGCCACTGTAAAACATGTTATCATACGGTAATGATATCTGTCATTACCCAGAGGTTAGCTAGGGAGAGCGAGGTGGTGGTAGTGATGGTGGAGGGAGGCCGAGAGCATCTGGTGGAGTTGATGCTGAGTTGGTTCATCCAGTAGCCATAGAACCCAGCTTCAGTCACTGATTTGATCCTATAGGAGGCAATGTATGTGTTCACTACTGCTATTTTGCTAAAGAAGCTATATATATATGTAGGAGAAAAGCACACAGAAACTGTATTGGAGGGGACCTACATTCCCTCCAATGCGTTATGTGTGGTTTCCTCCGAGGCTATGGGTCCCCCTTCTTCCAGCCAGAGGTGGTACTCCCTTCCCCATTTATATATATATATATATATATATATATATATATATATATATTTATGCTGACGGTGTATTTACCTGTCTATAATAATTAATTTGGTTTGGGAGATGCAGCCTGTTAGGGCTATATCGGGGGTGAAAACTATAAGTATACATAAACATACAGTTAATAAATAGGGTTATATGAGATAAAATTTTCCTATATATTCTTTAAAAGGCAAATAAATAAAGGAGAATTAACCATAACAAAGGTAAATATAGGAGCATAAACGCAGGGCAAAACGCAAATACACCAAGCGACTGAACACACACACACACACACACACGTGTGTGATTTTGCTTTAAATTCCTTGAGTTTTTCCTTATAATTCATATCTGTCAGCTCTGGTCCTCGTCTGGTGGCATTCATTAAATAAGTCATTCACACACACACACACACACACACACACACACACACACACACACACACACACCAATCTTACCTGTTGCTCATGGCGGGGACCAAGGGACTACCCTTCTGCCCTATCATGCAGAGGAACGCTGGTAGGAACACTTCCCTCGACTGATAAAAGTCACAGCGGCCTGTCGGGGTGCATTAAAAATTATAACCAATCAGTGAGGATAAAAACACTATAATATTGACGTTTTCTATTCATCGGCCTCTATGGGGGTCTAAGGTGAGTGGCTTGGCTTCGTAAGTTTCTTGTTTGG